CACGCACGCACGCACGCACGCACGCACGCACGCACGCACGCACGCACACACGCACACACGAACGCACGCACGCACGCACGCACGCACACACTGCACACCGCACACGCACACACTGGATAAGATGCACTAATATTAAAACAAAAGTCACAAAAGCAAGGGGGTAGATAGTCACAACTGCGTGTATTTGTTTTTTCAAACAAACCAACGTCATTTGTTTTTTCAAAAAAAAAAAAAATTACGTACTTTACTATCATGAAGGCAATGTAATACTTATGTGCTATTAAATTTGTGTAGTTGCTCTGTATTACTTTGCCTTGTACGCTGTGACCGTCAACTCGTACACGAGTACATCCATTATTTGCTAAAAGTGTCTGAAGATGACTTCCTGAAACAGGGCCCTGACCGAAAAACGCATTGAAGATGTAAAAACACAAGCTATAAACCAGCTGCTGCCGGTTAGGTAAAAAATGAGACTGTTTTGATTTTTGTTTCTTTTCAGATTAGTAAAGCGGCCATGTTGCAAAAAGGAGCGGAGTATATCAAGCAACTTAAGGCGGAACGGAACCAAATCAAAGAAGAGATGGAGAGTTTACGGCAACAAATCGAGTGTTTAAACAATTCAATATCGTAAGTTTAAATGTCTCGTTCGCTCCTACAAGAGCACAACATTTCGAATAAAAGTAAAAATGTATTGTTTTCGTTTTATAGTGGTTCTAACTTTATGCATCCTTATAGAACTTTAGGCATCCTTTGACCGTCGTAAATAAAACTATTTTTTCGGATCGAAATCGCGTATATTTGTTTCTTTAAACAAACCAATGTTTCGGGCCCTTTACAGGTTCCATGGTCATTGATGATTGACACAGGTTTTACAGGTCACCCGTGACTGTGGGACCTGTCTGTCTGCCTGTCATTTTGTTTCAAAATACAAACATACGCAAATTAGATCCAACTAAATAGTCTCATTTCCTATGTGTAACAATTGCGAAAACCTAAGAACTCGATACATACTTTGATCAGTTCAGGAAACACCGTCAATTTTATTTTTACTAGTAGACTATATATTTTCTCCAGGGCTAGGTAGGAAACACCGTCAATTTTATTTTTACTAGCAGACTATATATTTTCTCCAGGGCTAGGTAGATAGATAGTGGTCAAGAGCAAGTCCATTAACTTAAAAAAAAATGGGGCACGGAAAAAGGACCAACTTAACATAACAACTAATACGGCGGAAGCAGATAACCTCTGTGTTAAACGTTTTAAAAATGCCTTGAAAACATGAGTTATTCGTTTCAGCAACTGCCATTCGCTGCTGCCGGCGACGGGTGCGCCGGTGTCACGCGCCCGCGCCGGTCGACTGCGCGAAATGTTCGCTAGACATGTAGCCAACCGTACGCTGCAGAACTGGAAGTACTGGCTGGTATCCTTTGTAAACACCGTATTGTACCACATCTTCACGCATTTGCCTCCCCTAAAGAAGAGTGTATTTAAATACACTACCACTCAAATACACTATCATTGTAAGTATTTTTCAGTGTTGTTTCAGTATTTTGGAATATCAATCCAATAAAAGTTTAAATACAGTGAATAGCGACATCTCTAGCCGGGGACCAGCCCGCCAGGCCAGCTGTAAAAGTATCTAACTGGGTGACAAAATATAACAGATTTCTCATAGATTGCGCTACGTCTAAAAAGTCGTTGGAAAATCAAATACGAAGATACGACGCAAGGACATAGCAAAATTCGTGAGGTCCGCTGGTCGTTCCGTGGCTTAGTTGGTATAGCGTCTGCCACGGTGTGCTAGAAGACATCAGTTCGAATTCGACCGGGTCGAAGGATTTTTTTTCAGAGTGTTCGATCTTTGTATTAATAATTATAACAAACTAGTGGAGTAATTTCACATAATAGTTGAATATCAATTCAATAAAAAAAATTTTTTTATTACTTTATAATGTCAGAAGAGGGATGACAGAAAATTTAGGGTGTTGGAAATATTTTCCATGGAATTTGCTGGTTGTTCAATATCCCTAGCAAAGTCGTACTAGTTATGTTCCTTAGCGATGTGTATAGTTTAGCGTGGTGAGCGCAGCACTGGTGGACTCGTTCAGCGCGTGCGTGTCGTGCGGCAGCGCCGCCGACCTCGTGCGCACCACGTTGCTCTGGGCCGAGCAGCACTGCTCCCTCGTCGAGATGCGACCCGGTAACTACCTCTATTTACAGATACACTTATTTATTTTCACTTTTCATGTTTTAAACATACGTCATTATAGGCTTACGTAGCGGGAGTAAAGTGCATCCTTTAATCCATAGGGAGTAAAAAGTACCTAATTTTTGTAATATACTTCGAGTGAACAAATTCGAATAGCCAGTAGTACGTTCGGTTTTAGTTCCGTGCCTTTTCCGCATAAATGGTGGCTCCATATTATGTTCCCGTGTTAATGCCTTTGTTGAAGAGTAAATTAAATAAAGTGAATCTTATAATATATTACAGTCTAGGAGCGTCGAACAAAAACCGATAAGTCACATTTTGACTTGTTCTTTTTTAATGCCAAACGGTAGTTTTTGTACGTTTCTATCATTGATCTACTAACAAATGGATGGAAATGGACTAACAAATGTCGGATATATATCTATAGGGCGTTAAAATCGCATTCAGAGCGTCAATCGCGCAACAGTCTACGTTTGTTCGACTGACAGCGCGGTTGTCAATCATGCAGTAATAAATTATAATAACTGCAGTAAAGTGTAAAAACAGGATTTTGTATCATATTTTCACTAAATAAATATATTGTCTTATCATAGTTATCATTTAGAAGTGTTATTTTGTACAATTGTATAGTATTTAATTTATATATAAATTAATCGTAAATATAATTTACAAAAGCAAACAAAATAATCAAATAGCTAACTGTCCTTTTTCTACACATTAGATGCATTCGCAAACGATGGAAAGAGACCCATTACGTTAATTTCAAGAAGCTTATATTATTATATTCTTGGCCATTTTCAATTGTTCGAACCATAAGCGATTGAAATATTTAGAACAAAGAAACTAAAGAGTCGCTTTGATTTTAATCTCAATGTTAAAATAACTTTATTAAACGTTAGCATTAGCTAACAAAATATTGTTATACTCGTTTTACGGCTTGGGTTTACCTATCAGAAGTCAGAAAATACATTTGCCCGAAATAACGTTAGCTTGAATTTTCATAATGTCAAATGTATTTTTTTTTAGGAATATTACAAAACAAATGCTAATTTTGGCTTTGTGAGAAGCATCAAAATTACTTGAAAGCGTAACGGTTTTATTATAAATCGGTTTTCGGAATTACGGATATTTGAGTTTACGTTTAGTTGGAATATCGGTACATTTCTTACAGTACACGCTTATTTTCATTTCTAATATATGTATGTATGTATGTATCTGCCCAACTCTTTATTATTTCTTGAAGTGAATTAGTACAAAATTCGACATAATATACATAAAAACTAATTGATATTTACAATAAAGGCTGCTCCATTACTCTGTGTTCAAGTAATTTTCAGTCGAAGCTAAATATGATGCATTTTCTTAAGCTTCCAGTAGAAGCTGAATATGGTGTTTTTGGGCCGTATAAATTGTTGCAAGCTAAATTAGGCAGTACTGCAATGACGTTACAATTTAAATTAAATGTTTCAGTTTTTTTATATTTCGTTACATGTAACGTACGGTTACGTGTACGTTTGTATAGGTTAACTTCGGACATTTTTTTCGTGGTTTTTGAATTAGACCCGACGTCCATTTGTTGGTAGGTCAACGGTTTCTATGAATAATTTATCACTAAATTCTCCTTTAAAATCCATTTCAAATGCACAAGTCTGAATTTTTGCGATAAACCCATTCAAAGAGACTAGACGAAATTAGAAACGAGATTTAGCGGATTTCATTATCAGTTTCATTAACAGTTGCTAAGAAACACATACGTCAATAGTTGATCTATATGGTAGAATGACGACGCTGAAATAAGTTTATGTCCATGTAATAAGAGTGAAAAAGCGTTTCGCTACCGCTCGGACCGCCGACACGCCATTCTATCTTCCATCAGTTATCTTTGTATGTATAATGTTATGGTTATGGAGCATATGTACCTAGTACGGTCGAACTCATCATACATCAGAATGCCTTTAGATACAAATGACTGAAAGTAATAGGCCTAAATACTAAAAAGTAACTAAATAAATAAATATTAGACAGCATATCATACTTGGCGCCCAAAGTAAGTAAATACAGCACTTGTGTTACGGAAATCGGAAACAACGACGGTACCTCAAACACTCAGACGCCAGACAATATTAATAATATAATTATTTATTCAGACAACACATGTTTTTTAAGGTCCAATAGTGTTAATAAACTTACAAATATAACTTAAAGACTAGGTTAGGTGTAATAATCCCAAGGCTCTGCAGACTATATAATAAGCACAGTCACGTTAGCGATATATTTCGGCAGTCGCTGTACAAATTTCGCATAGTTATATATATATATTAAACCTTAATTAATTTTTGCTTTTTTTTCCGCCATCTAGTTTGATGCTGTCCGAGACCCTTGTTCTCTTGTATTTATTGGTCTTGTTTGTATTACTTTTCCTTTTTTTTAAATTTAAGTTGCTGTTTTTAAATTCTATATAATTTACATTTTTCGTTGTTTTTGCAAGCTGTGTTCACTCATAAGTAGTTGTGCAATTTAGATAAGAACTTCACCAAATTGAATTTATAGTATGTTACATTGTATATGAACCAATAAACTAAATAAATAAATAAATAGTTGTACAAAAATTAAATTATAAAAATTGGCAGCCGACACACGGATCTCTCACCCGCATCCAGACCTAGTAGTCTCTGGTGAGATTATTCAATCAGAACCCAAATGAAAGATTTCACAATGGATAGGTCATACGTATCGGGTATGGCCTGAAAAATGTTGTCGATGCTGCCCTCAATCTGCTGAGCAATGAGATAATGAAAAGTTAGTTTTTCTCAAATTGATCCGGACCCCGACTTAGAACTCCTCGATAACTTTCCCGAAACGAAGGACGCTTTCCAGCTATTCAGAACATTCCGAGTTAAAAAGTTTGATTCGGATTCAGATACGATATCGTTATCCAACAGCGTTTACGGAGTAGTCGGTGAATATACGAAATATACGAATGCATTAGCCTTGCATTAAAATAAATTAATAAAATTGAACAAAATCCAGACTTTATTTAAAATGATAAAGAGATTTCCATATTACATTCTTGCTTTGTAAACAATAGGACGTTCGGTAACTTTCATTCGATAACTGTGTTTTGAATAACGTACAAACGTTATTTATTCAGAACACAGTTATCCTATTTTTTCTACGATTACTCGAACTTCTCGGCGATCGTACGTATCGTATGGGTGTGACGTCATTTCGGTTCGGTTTCGAATACGGGTTTCGGGTGTTGGGAATAAAAATGAAAAGAAATCGGTCGACAACCGAGTTATCGTAAGGTTCTGAATCCGACCCCCGGCCGTGGATCAAACTCGGAACCTCTACAGATGGTGACACCATGAAAACCGGTGTGCAAGCCACTCCACCACGGAGGTCGTCAAACTAAAACTATACATGATTTTTAATGAAATTCTTTCAAATAACAGGAACAATTCTCACTTTCTTTTCAGCGGTACTAAACTCCTTGCGTGTGCTATGCACGACGACCGACATCCTGACGAACCCGGAGCGGCTGCCCGAGGAGGCACGCGCCGCTGTCGCTGCCAACGCTGGCGTCAAGACCGAGCCCACCTAATACGCACAAGCCTCTGCCGGTAAGGAAAACCCGTATCTCGCCATTAAGAAGTTGGTAACATGTAATTGTACTGTTTGTTTCAATCCAATCTTGATGAAAGATAATTTTTTTGGTTAAAATTCTTAAACAATCACTCCATAAATGGAATAATACTTCACGTATGTTTTAAAGGTTTCGATATGATATCTCACCGCTTCTTCTAACAATATTCATTTGAATAACATCTCAAATTCCAATTTGAAAAATCTTAGTCTAAAAGTGAAATTATTTGTCAAATGTAAACATATGAATAGTCTTTGGTTGCACAGTGCTGTAATATAAAAAATCATTCGGTTCATTTAAATTAAGTTTATAGTAAGCGATTAGTAAATCGAAAATTTCAATCACAATCTATAAAGGATTTCAAGAAGGACTTTAATGTCACAGCGCGTTTGTCGTGACATCATAAATTAAACATAATGAATTATTTTCATATAGTATGTTTGTAACAAATAACTATCATTAACCGAGAAGAATTGCCTTTGACTTATAATTTATTGTCTTGAACTGGTCTTAACTTTTAGAACAACAATCTCTGAAACAAGAAATATATTCAATAAATATAATACCTAAAAACTACAATCTGAAAACCTGACCATGTTACTAGAAACAATAAACTCAGCTTTTCACATTCATGAAACCTTTTTTTTTCATGCCCTCTACCTTCTACCACTTATCTTCTCGACGGTGAAACGTTCACTACAATCCGTACTCTACATGGGTTGTATTATATATAATATTGTAAACCTGTGTATCTAAGTATCATCACTGTGTGTGAGTCTATTCCATTTTTCATGCTCTATTCAGTGAAAAAAATCTTTTTAATGCCTCCATCGTTTTCGTTCAGTAAGTTAACTTTTGACAGGTGTTAATTTCAAATCTGGATAAATATAAGCAAAATATCCGGAAACATATCCGGAAAAGTAGATTTTTTTCAAAATAGAAAATTTTCCGTGGCCCAACACTAGGTGTCAATGTGTTTTGTCATGGCGACCTGTGTACTGCGGAGGATTGTTTTCTTACAAATTAAACTAAGATATAGAAAGTCTCAATTTTTATTTTAAACAAGACCAAACCTGAACATTTGTTACCTTTCAAGTAGATTGGATTGAACTGAACTATAGATTAACCAGTGTCTTACTATAGTTTGAAAGTCAATGCAGGATTATGTCGTATCGTGGTCACGCGTGTACCGTTTTGGCGGTTGAACCGCAAACGACAGAAATCACCCTAATGATTGTTTTACATGTATCATATTACTGTATGGTTTCTCAAACAAGTGAAAACAGGTTTCATGTCAAATTCTGGTTTATCCATGGAAATATTTTTTTGTCATTTGTTGTTTGTTGGATTAAAATATAATAATATGTAAGATACCAGTGCTTTACTTTTTCTATGGACTTTATTTTTTCAGTATGACTAGTTCACATGTTATTCCAAAATACTGGGAATACTCTTACTCATATTCCTTATGTATTAAATTTGCTGTTCATATTAAAGTGGTGAGAAAATATTAAATACGAAATACAACGAAATGACGGTTGAAATATCTCCATTCAATTTTAAGAGAAAATCATATTCTGAATGAAATATTTGTAGTTTTACTTTAAGTTTGGCATTTACGTCATCCTGTTATGAAATTCAATGTTTCTGATCTCTATCGGGAAGTTTGATCAATGTAACTACAATTTACCCTTTTTATTGGATAGTTTACTGAAATGATGAGTGGTTTTGTGTGCTCCTAAAACTCGATTCGAATGTAATGTTTTGCATTAAATTTGACCTTACCGGTAGAGCAGCAGTTACTTAATAAATATGTAATAATATTAACACAGGCGCTAAACGGAATTGTATTTTAATATACAAGTAGTTAATTTTTAAAATCCCAGATTCGTTCGAGGTTTACGAAGACAGACAAAAATAATAATTATTGACAAAAACTTTAAGGAATTAGTCACATTAGACCGAGTCAGTACGCGCAATATGGCACGGTTTACGTTCAGGTAGGAACGTAGTGTTGTGACAAGTGGTAAGTAATAAATATGGACTTTTGCCTATTACATTTCTTGCCATTGCTCTTGATGAAGAGGAATAGGAAGTACAGTGTAAAAATTCAATAAGATGTTCCGTGCCCCTAGCTCGGAAAAACGAATACTATTTACTTGTTTCATTTAATTCACTGGCTATTGTAGTCCATATTATGATTTTGTTTTTGTTATCTAAATATTTAGGATTGCTCATATCATATAGCACTGGGTAATTTCTTACGCACTCGATCATTTTTTCATCTTCAATTTTACAAAAAAAAAAAGAACGTATGCTCACTCACAGTAAGTAAATCGCACACTGCTTGGTCGAGATACGGAAGAGTGTTCATATTACAATGAGCCGAGGCGGGGTTCAGAAGCAGCTCGGGCATCGCGCGGCCGTGACACGGGCGCCGCACAGTGTAATATGAATTACTTGATATAACATATTCTGTAGCATTTCCAATCCGTGCCCCGTCGTGGTGGCACGGTCTAATGTGAATAATCCCTTTTCCGGTAAAAAGTCACTTAGAATATTAGCTTCATCTTTTAACTGTTAAGGTAAATTTTGAATCGATTAGTTACGTCCGGTTACAGTGTTCTAATACGTATGATGTACGATGAAGTATTTTTTTAACCTTATAACTAAGTTGAGGAGCTTAGGAACAAAAACTTATATCTAATTTCGTCTCAGATCCGCGCATTTGAAACGTATTTGTTAAGGAAGATTTAGCAACCACTAAACCGCTGTTCAAGTTGGATAAATTATTCTTAGAAACGTACAAAAACTACCGTTTGTCATTAAAATAGAACAAGTCAAAATGTGAGTTTTCGGTTTTTGTTCCGACGCTCCTCGGTACACAACATTTGAATTAAATAATAGTAGCAAACTGATGAATTTTAAATAAATACTTCACAATTGAATAGGCTGTGAACAATGCAATCGTCTCTTCTGTAAAACTCGAACAGCTCTGAAGTTTGGACTTTAAAAAATACTACTGCACCTCGTACATAATGATAGTGAACATAGATTACACTATTTTTTAAATGATGATCTTTATCGCGCATTCACATATTGTACCTTTATGATTGTTAATTAAATAATTAACGCACAAATGTAATTGAAACAGCAATTATTCGCGTGAGGATTAACTTCACTCTACTGTACAGTACTGTCAAAGGATTTTATAATTGTTTTTGACGAGATGATTTTCTTATGAAAGTTGTCAAGTATATACAGTGGTGGTCGTATAATTAGAAACACCACAAACGGTCCTTGACATTATGTAAGAAACTTCGCAATCGTTTTTATTTTGAAATTAAACAATAAATAGGACAACAATAGGTTCAACGATTTATTATTTATTAGAAAAACAATATAAATCCCACTACACAAGTGCAGTTTCAATATTACATTACGGACAAACACTTAAATCAGTTTTAAGGTATAAACAATAATGGACAACTAATTCGAAACAACAACAAAAAGTGTAAAAAAACAACATTTTTGTAATTATTAGCAATTAGTATTTTTATACTACAGCCTTTTTTATATTTTTTATATTACAGCCTACCAATATTTATAATTAATATTTAGTGGCGTATCCCTTATTTTCAATACCAGCTCTGCAACGACGTGACATTGATTCAATCAATGTCATACATTTTTCTAGGGGGATTGATTTTGATTGATTGATTGATTGCTTCATATAATTCGTTTTGACTGGTGTTACGTTTGTTTGAGACTTTCTTCTTAACAATATACCACAGATTTTCCATCGGGTTTAAATCCGGACTATTTGCTGGCCAGTCTAAAACGGATATATGCTGTTCGCTAAGGAAACATTTGACGCTATTGGCCGTGTGTTTAGGATCATTGTCATGCTGAAAGATCCAGGTTACAGGCAAATGATCGTCCGAGTAGGGAATCATTGTGTCCTCTAAGATATTTTTGTACTGCCATTGATCCATTGTACCTTCAATCTTCCGAACGGGACCAACTCCATATCCGGAAAAACACCGCCACCGTGTTTGACTATGCTCCTAGTGTATTTATAATTAAAAGCACTGTTTACAGGACGTCTAACATAGCGCTTTCCATCTGAATTTACCATGATTATCACTAGTATCAGGTTTCTTACCACGGTATGACTTCTTTTTATTTTCCCGATATTTCGGAACAGTTGCACGCTCCATGGTCACAGGTTGAATGGACGGCGGCAGATGACAGCTTTATGAGCAGACATATCTGTCTACCCTCTTGCGCTGTCGACGACTACATTCATCGCGATTTGTTGTGGCGTTACCATTGTCACTCACTTTTTTCACACAAACCACACTTACTGTATTCACACGCGAAACTGAACTCGAGGTGGTTTTGTTTTTATTACTGCACGCACTAAGGACCGCATTCCATGCACTGGACAGTTTAAAACCATCATCACGGTTAAATCTTTGTACTTCGTGATCTCGATGGCTTCTCGTACCAACCGTGGTATGTAGTGACGTTCTGTCGAGAGTTCCTGGGGGCTATGCAACTCGATCCAGTGGTTAGTGTCAGTCTGTGTGAGATGTGCTATAGCCGACTTCTGTGCATCATTGTTTTTTACTGCTCGGATGTGTTCCTTCATACGATCGACAATCGTTCGTTTAGTCTGACCGATATACGAGCTCCCACAACTGCAGTTCACTTTATAGACAACCGGTGTTTGTAAAGGAAGGTGGTATTTTGGTGAACGTAACATTTTTCCTATTTTGGTTAAGGGGGAGAAAACAGTTTTTATGGAAAACTTCCTTAGCGACCTGGCTATTTTATCTGTCACCCCTTGTACATAGGGCAGAAAAACTGGTAGTCTCTGTACGTCAATTTGCTTCTTCCTTTTGTGTATTGGTTTAAATGTTTTTATTTTGTATCCATTCTGTCGCAAAACCGTCTTAACGTGCTCCTGTTCCTGTGGTAGGTGGTGTGAATCACAAAGATCATAAGGTCTATTGGTTAACGACCTGACGATCGAATGTAGGTGTTTTGGGTGATGATGCGAAGTGGCATGTAAATATTTGTCCGTGTGAGTTGGTTTTCTGTACACAGAATGACCGAGTGAACCGTCTTGTCGGACTTTGACCAATACATCCAAAAATGCAAGCGCGCGATTTTTCTCAATTTCACAAGTGAACTTCATTTTGTTATGGGTGTTATTAAGACGTGCTAAATAATTTTGTATGCGTTGCTCCTTTCCTTCCATTATGCAAAATGCGTCATCAACATACCTCTTCCATAATTTTATTGTTGATGGTGCTGACAGAATGGCGGCGTGTTCATAGTGTTCCATCCAAATGTTGGCAACAACGGGAGCAACGGGACTGCCCATCGCTACACCATCAATCTGAAGGTAGTATTGGCCATTGTACAGGAAGTAGCTCGTGTTTAAGCAATGTTCAAATAATTGAGCAATCTGCATTGGGATGTTATTTTCTTGAAGTTTCACTTTGATAACGTCGATGCACTCCTTTATTGGTACGTTTGTGAAAAGAGACTCAACGTCATAACTAACCATTGTCTCATTCTCGTTAACTGTGGTACTGTTTAGGATCTCAATGAAATGCCTGGAGTCCTTCACAAAAGAGTTCGTTGTGTAAGAAACCTGATACTAGTGATAATCATTTAGTGAATAACCACGAAAGTCTTAAAATCTGAATTTACCATGTTTACTTTCGTTTCATCTGAAAATAAAACTTTTTTCTAGTCTCGTACCGTCCAATAACATATTTTTTTTGCGAATAATAATCGCTTCTCTCGATGTTGCTTGGTAAGAAGCGGTACCTTTCGAGATGTTCTTCCAAACAATTTAGCTTCCACTAATCTTCGGCGTATCAGTCTTGATGAGACGTTTCTGGGGTCATAAGGCGAAAAAACTTCATTTTTAATCTGGTTTGAGCCTTTAAATGGGTCTTTTCTAGCAACACGAACAATTAGCTTATCTTCTCTGGGAGAGGTTTTTCTTGGCCGAGCCTTTCTAAGAACATTTTCAACAGTTCAATTTCATTAAAAACTTCCTTCACAGAACAATTTAAATGCTCAGCTATTCTTCTGTACGTCCACTTTTGATCTAAATGTAAATTAACAATTATTTGCGTAGTTGATGCGTCACAACTTTTATTTTTGCCCATTTTGAACAAAATTAAATTCAGATCAAATTTTGAATTGCCGCTAAATTATTAGAAAACATCAAGAAAGAAATGTTATTCTTCAATTTCAAAAAAAGAACGAGCTATAGATGCTTTTTTCAAATGTTTCTAATTAGACGTCCAAGCGGCCAGGAACAGAAAATATACTCGTACATTGTGTAAGACTCATTTTATAATTAAAAGTAAGATATGTTTTATTTTTTATGCATTTAATGATTTTTTATTTGAGTGGCTATAATATTATTGCACGATTATTTATTATTGAATTCATATATTTTTCACGAACATTTGTACGTTGAAGTTAAACTTCCTTCAATCATAAGAAGTGTTTCTAATTAAACGACCACCACTGTATATAGCAAAATTGAAACTCACCTTACCTTTGATACACTGCGCAAGAGCGATTTGGTTACCTTGACGACAACGGGACGATTGATATCGCACAGCTAACATACATAGTATTATCTCAAGAGCTTTATATATGTATGTCATTCGTATACGATTTAATTTCAAAGTGACTATATTGTCCTGTCTTTTTGTAATTATATCGTGTACGACATACTTATTAAAACGCATTTTTGAGGTAAAATATAACGCATTTTTTGCGATAGTGCTATGTTGGTCATGTCATGTGCGATATTTGTATATATTAACTAAACTGTAAACAAAACATGTGCCTTTCTGGTTCTGTCGACAACAGAAATTAATTTCTCAGAATTCTAAGACTTATAGACACTGTTTACTATTTTACCAAAGATTTTCTATGGTTCACAGCTAAAAACACTGTTTAAACGTTACAAACATGAAATGTGATATCGACCATGGAAAGGAATGTAAATAATTCGATATATGGCTGCCCGTCCTCATCTTTTAGACGCGAATACCAATTTAGTGGTTAAGTAATAAAAAAGAAGAATTTATTAAAACATGTCGAGATTTAACTTAGATTTACTTGTAAGTATATTTACGTAAGTACTTGTAAGTATATTTTTATATGAATTGTGTAGCAACACAAGTGTTTTTATATTACTATATAAAATGGTGCCAACGTAAATATTGTTGTAATTTGTTATGTAGTGATATAATTTTATTATGTATCGTTGACTCTGGAAGCACGTTGTCTGTAGCGCGCGCACGCGCCGCTCGTGAGCTTTAAATGGATTGTGCAATTGTTGTTCTATTGGAAATACAATTTGGAAAGAAACACTTTGTTTTCAATCAGTTATTTATTACAATCAACAGAGTATACTGTACGTCATTTTCTTATTCATAAATTAAATATTGCAAATGGAACACTCGTTCTATTCGAGTAGGTAAGAGGTATCAATTCACCCAGTTCAATTGTTATTATTTAAATGCACAGATTTTTGTAGCTTATGTTACTCATTGCTGTTATTATTTTATGTACATAACCACGTGACATATTTGCAACTAATCAAATACGCATATTTTTCTAGGAGAGGTTGATTAATATCAAACAGTTACAATTAGGCTTGACGTATGAAGGAATACAATCACTGGTGGTAAATAGTCTAAGGTCGATCGAGATGTTATTAACTGTCTTAAGTGTGTTGATTAGCAGCTGTGGTGGCGGCGGCGAGCATGCGCGCTAGTCTCGACGTGGGTTGCGCTAAAAGTGCGCGCACGCTACCTTGCTCCACCAAACGCCCTTCATCCAAAACTACAGCCCGGTCGTACTCGCGCACTGATGATATGCGGTGCTAGAATTAACAAAGAAGTACATTAGTGTAACATTTATTTTACCGAATAATCATGATGTTTTTACTGCATTCATTTATTTTTTGTGAAAATACTCCACTAGTTTATTATTATTATTGATACAAAGGTCGAACTAACATAAAGAAAAAAATCCTTCCACTGGACTCTACCTAGCATCTATTGCTTCACGGTGGCTACCGCTCTTACCAACTGACCTATAAACTGAGTCTCGGTTAATATATGATAAACGGAGTAGATAGATAACTTAAATACGGAACTGATTAATTGCAAGACTTGGTTAAGTCCGTGTCATGCCGATTTACAAAGATGACTTATTATTTGAGCATGGCTGTGCAGTTACCGCGACAGTTATAACAGTAGTATGCGGTGCAGCAGCTTTGAGGGCGGCAAGCAGCGCTCGTTCGGCGGGCGCGTCGAGTGCTGCGCCGGGCTCGTCGAGCAACAGCGCGCTCGCGATCTGCGCGTGGAGCGCTGCGCGAGCTGCGCACGCGCGGGCCGCTCGACCGCCGCTCCACCCGCAGCGCGGCCGCCCCACTGAACACTCTGTAATATTAGAACTCGTAAGAAGCCGTGTCACCCACTCCCTGATTAAAATTCAATTTAAAAACATGCTTACCAAGACCAGCAGGCTGTGCGTGCACAAAATCAAACAAACCCACAGCCCGCAAGCTCTGCCAGATTTCTTCGTCAGTATGAACGGCAAGAGGATCTAAATTTTCTCGCAGTGTACCGGAGAACATAACCGCTTCTTGTGGGAGGACCACCATACGATGTCGTAGCGTTCGGAGCGGCACATTCGTTGAATCTACGCCGTCTATTAACACCCGGCCTTTTCGGATAGTAGTCGCTCCGACACAGGACAGTATTAGAGTTGATTTACCACTTCCACTTCGACCGCAGATAGCCACCTGAAGAATAAAGATTATTGTGATGCTTGCTCCGACTAGAATACCAAATGAAAAATATGTAACGAAAGCGTTTACTTACTTTTTCACCTGGAGCGACAGAAATGTTGATGTTATGTAAAACAGCTGGCATGTCAGGTTCATGTTGTACGCTTATATTGTCAAAATGTATCTTTCCGTTTCTTTGCCATCCGGTAGGTATTTGGCCTGAAAAATAACGTGGTTCATAATGACGGGAGTAAGTTGAACAAAAATCACGTACATAAGAAATTGCACGTAGTTTACTAACAGTCATCCCTATAATCTTCTTGTTGTACTTTGGAGTCAACATGCAACCGTTCGACTGAAGCTAACTGCAGATCAAGATCAGCCCGACACTTAGCTAGATGCGCCAAGTAAGTCGGCAGGAGCAAAGAGTACGCTCCCGCTAAACCAGCAGCTGCCGCCGCTGAAGCTGAATCGTCTTCCCTTCGGCTATATAGGGCTATTGCTATAGACACGCTCACACTTGCAGCACCTACTAAATCCTGTAAAAAGGTATCGAAGACATGTTAGAAACATAAGAAATATAAAAAGGAAGGTGGAAAATAAAACTGAATTGCAAATACACTTGTGTAAAAATTATCTTAACAATCAAACTAAACAAAAACGTCTCGTCCAAAGTGTCATTATATATATATCTATATATAAGTATCTGTTGTACAAAATAAACTAAACACACTCTTCGCTCTAAGCGGACACATTCGAAAACCAGTAATAAAATTTAATTTGCCATACTAATGTGAGTCCAAGCCACCGGTTAGCGGCGTTGAGCAGCAATAAGGCGTTGTGGTTTTGATCTAGTCGCCGCATAAAGGCTGCACGCATGCGCGTCTGGAGTCGCCCCGCGCGAACTGTGCCTGCCCCGCTGCATGTTTGCGCGCATACCGAAACCACGCTCGCTGCGCTACGAGCTTCTACTCGTTGCAATTCCCTGTATATGATATATATGGTGTTAATATTGTATCTAAGTTGTCGATGTTAACAAAATAACCTTCAAATGTCAATTTATTACCGTGTTCTACGTAAAAGTGACTCCCAGAAGAGGTTAACGATTATTAAAACACAATTATATATCGCACATGACAACTACCATAGTTATCTCAAAAATTGCGTTATATGTATTATATTTTATCTCAAAAAACGTCAAAGTAATTTTATACGTACGAAATAAAAAATGTCATTTGTATACGATTTAATTTCAATGTGATAGTGTTGTCCTGTCACTTTGAAATTAAATCGTATACTAATTATATACATATGATATAAAGCAATTTTTTAAATAATACTATGTTAGTTGTGATGTGCGATATTTTATCTGAAACGGTAGGGTTTCTAGACAATTTATGACGTTAATTAATTAATTAAATGTACCTTGCGTTACGTAAATAGACTGTTTGCAATGTTAAGTAGAATAGCAGGGCGGGTAACAGCGCGAAAAGACTCCAAGGAGCCATAACTGCGTTCACTAGCATCGCAGCTATGCATAATAGCGCTAATTGGGCCCAGCGACTAACGGCGGTTGGCAATTTCTGGAACAGAATTTTGTACGCTAATTTGTTACGAAATTTTTTTAATATAAGAAAGTTTATGTAATTTGTTTTACGGTAAATGATAGTAAAGCCTTATAGTATGATTGGATTATAGTAAGCTGTCTCTATTACCTTGTCAATGACAAGTATATCAGCAGAAAAACGGTGCAACGTGGCTCCAGCCGGCGCTGAACGATGATGATGCAGTGGTGCATGTAACGTCGCATGCAACAATTGTTCGTGCAAAGACCGTCGCGCCCTGGCCCCAGCTGCCGTGCACGCCGCTTGTGCGCACCCAACAGCACCCACACCGCCAATACACCATAGTGCGTAGATGCATACACTGTTCCACATCTGGAATAGATTACCGAGTTGTGGGGATTAAACAATTGCAAACAATGTATTATTATTGTGCGTGTGTATAAATTTTTAGTTCATTAAATGGTTGATTTTTCCAGCATTACTACCTCTCAACAATTATTACCAGTTTAGATAATGGAATCATACATTACCGAATCCGTAACGTGGTGACTATGGCAAATCCTCATGTTTCGGAAAAGCCAGCCTCAATTTAATTGTGCACTTCCATAGCCCGCGTGGTGTGTGACCGTTGTTTCTTTTACCTGTTCGCTGGTTAAAGGGTGCTCAGCATGCTCGGCAGTGGTGCGCATGAGCCAGAAGTCGGCAGCAGTCGCCATCGCCTGCGCAACTATCGCTGCGCCGCTATACGCCGCGCCCCAGCAACCGCAAGCGCGCGCATACTGCCACCATACTGTGCACTGTAAAAATACGAACTTCAAGCACTAGCAGATGCTAGCCTCGACCAAGGGTTTCAGAATCCACTTTGTAGGAGTCGAATATATTACGAATAGTACGAGACTATTCGTAATATATTCGACGTCGACGTCTCACGGCTATGCCACACGGAGGGAAAGTATCTTAATTACCGTGGATAGAACATTTTACTGAAAGAAGTCTTACTTTTCATTTTAAAAATAATTCGAACTGCATTCAAAGATTTATAAATAATCACCTGTCTGAACCGGGATCGAACCAGCCAAATGCGAAAAAAAACCTGTAATTTTACTATAGAAGAAGTCTCAATCATAGGATTGTTTTCTTCGAAATAACATAGCATCTTAAATTTAACATTTAATTTTAAATTTTGTTCACGAAAATGACTTTGCCTTTTCTCTGACTTTGCCGCGCTCATAACAACTGAGATTACCATTTCAAAGTAGTACTAATGAGTACAAACTTGAGAAATATATATCATTTCCCTGTTATGAGTACATAAGGTGTAGTTACCTAGTAGTAAGTATGTTTGTGTGTTCACAATCACAATGCGACTGGCTTTTTATAAAAAAATTATTTGTGTAAATATTAAATTTCAAGGTCTTCCTTTTGTTTACGATGCTATGTTATTTAGAAGAATACATTTCTTACGATTGAGGCTTTCGATCAATATAGTAAAATTAGAGGTGTTTTTTGTTCACATTTGGCGGGTTCGATTTCCGGGTGAGACAGGATTATTTAATAATCTTTTTCACTTCTCATGCTCTTAAAGTTCGTATTTATGCTGCGTGTAGGCTGCGTAAAATAGGATTTTGTGCTCTAGTGCATAAAATAAAAAAAACTATCACATTAAATATGTATAATGGTTGTAATTTTACATTCAATTTTAATTAAATAATCGTTTCTATTGCTGTTTAATTTCCTCGCAATCGAAGTGAAAGGCCGAGTGTAACTCGTTGATAAAACCCATTTTACCCTCGACTTAAATATCCACTCTCGCCTGCGGTTCTGGTGGATATACTCGTCTCGTGCACTTGTTGTACAATCTACTATGAATGCAGTTCGAATTGTTTTTAAAATCAAAATGAAGTCTTCAGTAAAATTTTCTATAGGTATATATACTTTCCCTCTGTGTGGCATATTCGTGAGACGGCCTGTATATTTACAAATTGTTGTAGGTACTTAGTTGTTTATGATTTTTTTTATAATATTGAGTGACGGAACGAACAAGCGTGTGCCTGATGGTAAGCTACACGCCTGTCCATAACAGTTGCAGTGCCACTCAGCAAAGATCTGAGAAGCACTGCCACTGCGCCCGTCGCCCTGAAACATAAGTTGAGAAGTCCCATGTGCCTGTAATTTCACCCTTCAAAACCGGAACACAGTAATGCTAACATTGCGCGGCAGAAATAGGTAAGGTGGCAATACTACCCTGGACGAACTCTTTCACAAGGAGCTCTACTATGAACGCGATACATCTTATTTGGTGCATTGTATTCGAGTTTTCTGATACTTAAATATCTGCTATTCGTATTTATTACCTCGTTTATGTCTTCTTCATTCACGTTCTTGTTGTGGGAAGGAGTGATATCATTAGCGTACAACATCTGGTTGTTTGGTGGAACGCCGTTACTTGTAACAGAGGTGCATGTAGTGTCCGCATTTGTCTCGTCTCCTGTTTCTTAAAACACATTTACATTCATTTGAATATTTCTAATTCAGGGTTTCTCAACATTTTTCTAGTCATGGACCCCTCTCAAAATGTCAAAGGGCCCACGGACCCTTTCCGAAAAGATAAAAAAACTAGGTTTAGCTTTTACTATATTATATTGTTTGCGATTAAACTTTAGTTAATTGCATATGAGTTATGTCACCGACCCCCGGCTTTCATTACATGAACCCCTTAGGGGTCCATGGACCACAGGTTAAAAACCCTGTTCTAATCATTACACAATTACTTCTGTGTGTGACTACTTGTACATATAAAGTATATTTGACGACCTCTGTGGTCAAGTAGCTAGTTTCTCCGGTTTTCATGGTGTCGTCACCTCTTGAGGTCCCGGGTTCGGTCCCTGGCCAGGTCAACTAAAAAAACTCACTTTTCTATATTGTGTCGGGTCTGGGTGTTTATAGTACAGTCGTTATTCCCGATTTCCATAACACTAGTGATTTAGTTACTTACTTTGGGATTGGAGCAAGGTATGGAATGTCTAATATTTATTTATATGTGCTTACCGTTAGCTTGGTTTCTTTCTGGAGTGTTCGAGTCTGAGCTGAGAAGACGACGAAGCGTTCTTGGTGTCCATCTGTAAATCGTATTATTTAAATTATTATTGTAAGGTGCTTTTTTTATAACACTAAGTGACAGGACGAACAAGTCGTGCGCTTGGTGATAAGCGACACGCCTATCCATAGCAGTTGCAGGGCCACTCGGAGCTTAAAATCGCAAAAATTTGAGGGGCACTGCCACTGCGCCCGTCAGTTTTAATTTTCTCATTACTAAATTTGTACGTTAATATATAACATCATTTTACGTTACTGTTTATAATTGTCGTGAATTGTGCTGTGTATGGCTGTTTATAATCATCTAAACGGGATAAAAAGAGGGTTTCTTTCGTTTTTTTGAAAGATGAAACGAAGTAGGTAAATAAAAAACTTATGTCTGAGACTATTTCAGTCATTGTTTTCTTTAGTGCAGAGTAATATAAAATACAGATTTATTATATCAATATAATAAGACGCCATAACTTCCTGAGCTAGAGAAGGGTTCTCGAATTTTCAATTTGTATTGCCGATAAAATATTACGTAGTGAATATACCTAATTATTAACTAGGTAATTAATATAAACTTGGACACGCAATTTCAAGTACTTTGGTTACCTTCTTTAAAGGTACCTGTCCAAAATATAACATTTTAAATGCTTTCAATATATTTTTAAAATAAATCTTCAATATTATTCCAGTTAGTGAATTAATGAAAAATATAATATTATATCGACATAAATACGTAATGAACATGTGTAATTATTAGGATTCTATAATAGAATTATAGGTAACAGATTGCCGCTCTGACCACGTAACTTAATAAATAGTACGAGCAAGTGATGGGTAACATGTGGGTAACCCTGCCACTTCACGCACACATTTACGCGTGTGCAGATAGCGCCTTGCTGTATGTAGTAGTAGTAGGTAAATAATTTTCGACAGTGTGGTACCGTCATCGTTGCTGTCGATATAAGTGCTTTACAGTTACTTATTTCGGGATCAGAGCAACGTATGGGATAAAAAAAAATACGTTCATGTATAGGCAACAGCACATCAAGCTATACACTTTTGTTCGAGTATCGCCTCCAGTGCAATGGAACAAGATCCGTCAATGTGAGTTTGGTGTACTGTCGTCTGTACATAAAAGAAAAATGTACCTAGCAAGCGTTCGGGGAGTGCGTCGTCGCCTCAATAAACGCCTGAGAAGGCTGGCTTCTCGCTGTAAAACTGTGTTAGATTCGTCTGCGCTGACGGCTCTTCTCACATCTCGTCGGCATCTATTCAATATTAACAAAATAATTATTTAAATTTCAAGTCTATAAAGAACAAATGCTTTACTCTATTGAGATAATAAGTGACTAAATAGTGTAAGTACGAGAGTTTACTTGTAATTTTGCATTGATGATGGAGGCGAAGACAGTTGCCTGGTCAGGGCAGGTCGCGGTCGGAATGAAGCGTGGCGCCAACTTCCGCCGGCGCACGTAGGAACCTCCGCCAAGAGATGCGCTCCGGTAGCCTCATTAATACCAACCTAATGGATAATTAACAATTGTAAGCTGAAGTATTGCCACAGCCGTTTCGTTGTATACATTATCGTATCAAGTCGTACCGTTGCGTCATCTGGAGTCTGCCGTAAAATTCGTGCCTGGGTTAAAGCTCTAACGAGGCGCGAACGCTCTCTGGCAGTGCCGCCTGGAGGACCGCAACCGTTTCTGGCTGCCGCCGCGCGGGCCTCTGCTGCGAGTTGACCCCAATGCCCCAATACGCCGTCACCAACAGCTCGCCCGAATCCACCAATGCGACCGTCTTCCATGACGATGACCTGCGAATATCGAAGATGACCATTATAGTGACAAAGTAAACAGAATGAGATAATCAAGAAGTAATAAAGAAAAAAGGTATATAATTACCAAATCCGCATAGTGTAATAATTCTAGTCTATTGGTTGCTACAAGTACGGTGCGACCCGCGCGTGCGGCGGGGACGAGGGCGCGGGCAACGACGTGCCGCGCCAGCGCCGCATCGAGAGCACCGAGCGGCTCGTCGAGCGCGAGAAGCCGTGCGCCTGAATACAGCGCCCGCGCCACGCATACGCGCACGCGTTGCCCGCCCGACAACGGTGCGCCGTGACTTCCTAGGTGAGTCGTATCTCCGTCTAATTAGAATAAAGGAAACTGCAATATTTTTATTCCGTCTTGGGTTCTTAGATATTTTAAGTGAACTTGTATTTTGGGCGGCCCGATCGATCTAGCGTTACAAGCAGCGACTGCAAACGTCCATAATATTAATTAAACCATATTGATTATAAATAATAATAATAATTATGGTAATTGTTTAAGCGTCAAAACTTTTCAATAAAGCACACATTTATGTATGTAGATTAATTAGACTTTCAAGAGACAACTTTCTTACCGGGTAAAAGTTGCAAGTCCGGTCGTAAGCCAGTAGCTCGAAGCACGCGTGCGTATCGTCGCTGGCACCAGGCGCTATCCATCACTATATTGTCGCGGACTGATCCCTCCAGCAGCCATGGTGGCTGACCCGCGTACCATGTCGAACAGTGTCTGTAAGTGGTTATTGAATGACACGATTATAACGAAGTATATCTATGTAAATGATCGACGCGGCAGATAAGACGCAACATATATTGCGGCCACATTTTAAACTAAGTTATGTAATTAAGTGTGGTTATAGTAAATATTTCTTTGTTACATTAACCTACATACCTACCTACATTTAAAATTATGCATGTATGCGTGGTTAGGCATTTAGGTGACGCACATTATCAAACCACTGTGACGTTAAGTGTGTTAAAAATAACGAATGGTGAACAAATGATGGAACTATATTTTTACCCATTAAAAATGACATCGCCTCGTTCCAAATACATTTCTCCGAGAATAGCAGATAGCAGTGATGATTTGCCAGATCCAGTACTACCGACCACCATTATTAGTTTTCCTGTTTTAACGAAAATATATTATAATTGGGTGAGGATCCTTGAACTACATTTGTGTTTAGTAATAAATGTAATTTATAGTAATATGAGAGGTTAATTCCCAAATAAAAATGTTGTATTCCATACCTACACAGTGTTAAAACGGACGTCTTAAATTCGGAGTGACTCTAGCAACAAAGTTGGCACAAATTTCGATAACATACCAATATCCAATTCGTGGAAAAATGTGGTCAACTTTAATATAAATTGTCCGATTGTGTTTTGTATAGAAGATAATAATGTATGCGAATTTGCATGAAAAGTGTAGTTTTTATCACCCTTCTTATTTTGTTTCTATGTATGAATTGATATGATTTAAAATTATATCAATTAAAATATTTATATATATATATATATATATATATATAATATTATTATATTTATTATATTATATATTATATTATATTATAAATTTATATAATATATAAAAATAAATAAGGTATTTAGTACCTGCGGGAATATCCAAATCCTCTATTTCTAATAGCGCGTCGCTTTTCATGCCCCAAGTAAATGCTGCATTTCTGAATCTAATCAAATACTCCTGATTAGCGACTAGCAACGAGTTTTCTTCGTCTGAAAACTGATCCTCACATTCCCCATCACCGGCCTCGTCTTTGCTGTCGTCTTGCCAACCAAAATTGTCGTCTGGTACATTTTCCACAAACGCGTCATTGAATCTGTCTGATGTTTTCTTATGTTCACAAACGTCTTCGTTATCTTCATACACGTTATTTGACTCAGGAAGCTCCAAGAAAGCCCTAATTCTCTTTGTGCTGACCTAAAAGTGATTGTCACCTATTATTTATTGGTAGTCTCATGTCAGGGACAATATTTAAATGGGTTGTTACTATTTACGTTTATAGTTTCTTACCGTAGCTTGTATGACCATCAGGACGGTCACTGGGAGGATAAGTAGGGGTATAGTAAGTTGGTTGAAGAGAGCCAGACCGGCAAATACGTTGACTGCAGTGAGGCCCGTTCCATTTTCCAAATAGTAATACACTGTGAACGTGACCACTGTCACGATAATTGTAGACACTTGCGTTGTAAATGCTGAAAGTTTAAATAAAAAATAGACTTTATTTTTAGTTCGCATCCTTGCATCATTCGTGCTCCTTAACATGTCTTACGTACTTAGAAAGCTCCAGTAAATGGAATCCTTGTTCAATAATTTTAATTCCACTTCTCTCAAATTCAAAATTCTTTCGTTAAAGAGGTCTTCCCATACGTAAAGCTTTATAACATGCATCCCTTGTAAAATTTCAGTCATCTTTGAGACTCTGTGATCAGTCCACTTTGCGATGTCTTTGGAGTTGTCCGATATTTTCTTGCCAATGTAGAATTGCAGGGGCGTAATGAACAAAATGCTCACAGCGGTGCCCACTATTGCACTTGCACCTAATTTTGTGTAGAGTAAGTACAGGATGACTGCTATCTGCAATGGTGCAAATCTCAGAAGTAAACGAAGTAATTACTGAAGTTTCAATTAGACTTTAAACAGACCAGGAAAAAACGAACCTTTAAAGGTATAGCCCACATGTAATGGCAGATCCATACACAAGACATGACGTTGTACGTGTCCTGCGAGACGAGATTGGTAAGTAGGCCGGCCTGCGTGTTGGTCGTTTCATCGGCATGCAATAGTGGGGAGTCTTCGTCTATAGCCGCCTCGTTCGCGGACCATGGCGCCAACCTCATGCATTTGTCATATACCATGCCCTAAGTATTAATACACAGATATTTATTAAAAGAGGTCAACATAGATGTCTTATCGTGTTAAATAGGTTGTTAAGAACAGTACGATTTAAATTTCATAAGCTGGCTCTACCCATGACACTAAACAACTTTCTCTAACACTTATCCAATTTGCGTAGATTTATTTTTTCTTCCATACAAAACACAACCAATTGGTAATGGAAAGTTAAAACTAATAATAATAAATAAATAAATAAATAACGCACACACTCAACATAGCCCCGCACTAGGGAAACCCTGTGTCGCGGGTGCCATGGACACACACACATAGACAACCACAAATTACACCCAAACTCACGAGAGAAATAAATGTAAGCCATACAAACATTTCTCCCGGCCCGGGAATCGAACCTGGGACCTCTGCGTGGCAGTCCGGCATGGTAACCGTTCGGCCACAGAGGCAGTAATATGTGGCAATGGATTCCTCAAAGAAAATTATTCAGTGTTATGGGTAGTATCAGCTCGTGATGTTTCAGCTTACTTTTTTAACACCTGTTATAGTATACAAGCTGTTATTATTTTGTAAACTTGGTACGGTTTCATGTAGTTAGTTGGGTATACATCGTAAGTGTTAGTCAAGTAGAGAGACAACACTATATAAACTACAAACTTTTTCAAACCTGTTATATTAAGTAAATGCGTCGAGATATTCTATAAAGTCTATTTTTAGAACTTAATTAACACGTACTTGTAGCGCTGTTTTCAATCTCGTCCCCTCTACAGTGACCAAGTGCGTCGAGTTTTGAGATAAAAATGCTTGAATGATCAGGGCTAGCGTTATTAATAATAACATTACATATCCGTTACTGCAGAACTCCTCTATTGTCACGTGTTTTGTGTTAAAAACTTGATGCGGGTCTTGAAGGTACTGAATAACGACGGCTAAACCTAGTGGAGGCACAACACCCACTAAATCGCTAATCAACTTCATGATACCGGCGACATAAAAGTTTGGCCACACCACGGCCGTGTAGCATCGCCATATACTGGGACTTCCATTGCACTTTTTGCTATTCTGAAAAACATACGATAAAGTTTTGTTAAATAAAATTTTGAAGTATTGAATTCTATGTATGTAGGTATATAAGAATTTTATACAAACCTCTTGATCTTTGTACAACTTTTTGAAAATTTTATAGTACTTCTGCGATTGTTCATTGTCAGGCAGTTCACCCAGATCGTCTTGTTCGAGTGGAGATTCATATCCTCTGTATAGTAGCGTATTCAGCCAGAAAAATGATATTTTTGCGAAGAAATGCGTGTCGCTATGTTTGTACGTAGTGTTTACATCTGTTGTTGGTTTTTGATGAGATTGGTATCGCTTTGTTACCTGGAAAACCGCTCAGTTTCTTACTTGTGTACAAATATGTACGATAAAAGGTGATTAACGACTGCAAAGACACTATTATACTCGTAATTCAGGTGTCCGCAATTGGTAACATAAAGTAGACTATATGTACACGTTAGTATAATATTAAGCACAATTATTTTTGTCGTAAAAATGCTGATATTGTTTAACGAATCCGATAACATTTCAATTATTAGGAGAAGCTGGTACTCGTGGCCCCACTAGTGGGACAAATTAGTGGGACCACGAGTAAACAGCGGTAATTTGTACATTGTATAAGAATTTTAAATTTTAAAATGATACAGTACATTTAAATGTAATATTAAGTTTACTGAATATCACGATGTTTTACTACCGCGATATTCAATTGTTTTTGTGAAATTAAATTATTGTAACTATGAAAGAGTCTGAGATGAAAACCCTAAAAATCACATGTTTTTGTTTGTTGACATTTATTCTACATCGAATTTGGCTAGAGTATAGTATGTTATATTATTAATACAAAAATCGGACACTGAGAAAAATTCCTTCAATCCGGCCAGATTCGAATCTGCGCCTTCAGCATACTGTGCCTGATGCTCTCCCAACTGATCTATACGGCTAGCAGAGATTATGAATTTTTCTATATGCTTGTTGCTGTGAGAAATCTATGAAAAAAGCACATTGAAAAATTCGCAAAGTCTGCTGATTCGTTCCGTAGTTCAGTTGGGAGAGCGTCAGGCATGGTATGCTGAAAGGCGCTGGTTCGAATCCAGTCAGATTGAAGGAATTTTTGTCAGTGTTAGATCTTTGTATTACATTTAAATATTTAATAAGTACTAGTTAGATATAACTGTTACACTACACATTTTATTTTAAATTATATACGCATGCTGCGTTTAAAGCTTTTGATTGCTCTGTTTATGAGTTTAGTGGACTTCTAACCCATTGTGACTGCGCAATGTATGATCAACATGTAGACATCTAGTCTTGTTTCAAGTGTATTAACCCCTCTTTGGGGAGGTTGAAGGATGCCGACTGGCGCCAGAGAGGAAAGCGGTCTGGACTCCGGACGTCTCAGTGACTAATGCTGTGTACAACGCTTTCTACTTTACACCATTATGTATTCTCGGCATAGTAAACGCTATTATGTTAAACGAAACGCTTGATCAAATATCAAGGATGCGTTTATCTCTTAATGCTCTCTTAATGTTTTCTTAAACATTAATGAAGCGAATATCTTTTAAATTGAAGAACAAAGAAAATCAACGACGTATCGAGGTATTAAGAAACGTATTTATATCGCAATAGAAGGTGTAGAGTTCGCATTATCAGTGTGATGTACACTATTCACAGATTTATATCGCACTGCTATTACAATAGTGTTGTAACTCAAAATATGTGAAATTATCATTGCTGAACGTAGAATTTGATTCTCTACACGTCAATAAAACCACCGTTAGAATATTGTAAGAATTAAAAAATATCTACTTAACTCCCAATGAGTCACACTTTATGTGATCTAGTTATTAATAAACTCAGTTTCTTATAAGAATGAGTTTATTTTATTGGAAGAAAAGAATCGGGACAGCAGTTGGTAAAATTTAATAAAATGTTATTAATTTTGTATATTGTATATATAATATGAATAAAAAATATTTATTTATCAACTTTTATGTTTTTTTTCGTCCCATACAATGAAATGATCTTTTATGATACTGAGTCGATCTAAGACTACAAAAAATTTGATCAATTTTATTAATTTTTGTGGACAACTCACTCTTGACCAAAACATGAACTATGCAATAATTGTTTTCACAAAAAAGACTTAATAGCTCCTAAGATAGTTTATCTTAGTGTATATCTTGTATGATTTCAAATTTCCTCGTACTGTCCCATTTAAAAAAAACACTATAATTTCACTATGCCATCAACGTGTCATGGTCTCGCCGTTGAAGAGCAGAATACCAATAAATTGCAATGGCAGTTGAATAGTAGCTCAATGGCTAGCTACAGACTAACCAGTACTCTAAACTTTTAGCAGAATATCACTCGTACAAAATCCTGCCATGGACAATCCATCTAGCACTCCAGCAGACTAGATTTACTATTAATAACGAACCGTCATCTACACCACATACCATGTATACCTATAGAATATAATACCATGTACCAAAAACGTATACACAATTTATGTGCCTGCTAAACCTATTTATGTTCCAAACTGTATGCTACTGACAAAGTTGAAACATCTGTTCGTTTAGATATAGGAATAAATCTTTTCCGCATCATTCATTTATTTATTCCAATCGTAACTCAAATTTGTTCATCTATACGATATGATTTTATTATAAACGTTATGATTTCGCATCGCATGTAGTAAAATAGGAAAAGGCCTTTGATTTATGTGTACTTATTTTGTTATATTAGTTAATAAAATTCATTGTTTCCAGAGATAAGGCAGTGGGTTAAAACCCAGTCAACGGTGGTTTTCCCCAAAGCGCTGTAATCCATTTCTGTCCAATACATGGGCGGAAACGACAAATACGGAATTTGGTATAATTCCATACTTCTTACAAAATTTCTGTGTAAAAAATCTTTTTTAGACGGAAAAGAGGCAACTCCACACAATACCCACCTTGTAATCCAGTGGATTCTCACTTCTAAGGATGCAATTTCGATTCGATTTTTACAAAAATCGATTCAAATGTATACGATCTACCGATTTTTTGTGTCGACGTATTTCAAACCATTTTCAAGCGAACCGATTCAATAGAAAGGTATCAATCGAATCATGTAGATCAGAAAACATAAACATTTTGTAATATTATTATTAAATATTGACTAAACTCGACTTACAACAAATATTTAGTTAATGAAATTTTTATTGAATTGATATTCAATTCTTTTTTGTGAAATTACTCCACTAGTTTGTTATAATTATTAATACAAAGATCGAACACTCAGAAAAAATTCCTTCCTAAAAAGTCGTTGAAAAACCAAATACAAAGATACGACTCAAGCACATAGAAAAATTCGTGAGGTCCGTTGGTTCGTTCCGTGGCTTAGTTGGTATAGCGTCTGGCACGGTATTCAAGAAGACGTCGGTTCGAATCCGACCGGATCGAAGTGACCCCGTATATACATATATATACGGGGTCACATGGTGACGGTGATGGTGACGGCGACGGGTGGCTGAGATGGTATTTATTCATCAAACAGTCAAGCGTGACTTTGGAACTGGGAAAGTAAAGAGCCCGAAATGTGTGTGTATCTAATGTAAAAATAAATAAATATATATTGAATTCAATTTAGATGAAATTAAATTGGATTGGATTAAATTGAGTTAAATTGAATTGGTTAGAATTTGAATTGAATTAAATTGGTTTTGTTTTGGGTTTTTACGAGTGGCGTCCCTGTCCCTATAGGGTCCTGGCAGAATACCAGTGTCGCGGACAGCCGCGTCATTTATGCTGAGTCAACGCCTTTTCATTGCCATGGCTTTCAAGAGAGATACTATGGATACTATACATGGTGGTGAATAAAGATTTTATGTATCTATCTATCTATCTGATTTAATATTTCAGACTAAAGTCCGGAGTCGCTTTAAATTTACAAGATTAGATGTCTTTGTTTAAGTTTTTCAAAAACAATGTTTTATTTGTAACGTAATTTACGGTTGTTTTGCCGAGGGTTGAATATTAAAATAAGGCTAGTAGTCAGAGATAAGTATCTTTACATTAATACTCCAGAGAGACGAGTCAGCTCCTTAAAGATCGCAACGGCAGTTGAAGCTATTAACCTATTAAATGAACGTTGACACAACACATAGGATACTACTTATGGCGTATTCTCTTTACTGACACATAAAAGCTATAGTGAATTGTTTTTTCTGTACCGCTCACATTTGTTTGTTTTTATAGAGATACCAGTTTTTGTAATACATTTTTTGGTTCTACAACTTTGAAAAATGTTATCATTACTTAAGTCTGCCGTTAGAACGCAGCTATGTGACAAAATATTTTTTTGAGATGTCATTAAAAACCATAATCCAGGTTTAGAATATTGGAATTGTTTAATGATATTTCAGCTATGCATCGTTAGGGTAAGTTCCGATATGTTGAACACGTTAACTAATTTGAACTGTATTTAAAAGAGAATTTTGTGTCTTTTTCTATTTGTAACGAATATTTGACTATTTGTCACTTAGTCGCGTTATAATTAGTGAACGGCAGAAATATATTATAAAGCCCTTACGATGCTAGGTACAATTGAATGTTTAAAAAAAAATAATTTTGTTGATGTGTAGTTAACAGGAACCGTATGATTTTATGACGGCACTGTACCTACATTGTATTGTTCACCGTCGTCACATAAGCGCAAACTATGAAGAACAAAAAGAGAAATAAAATCCATGTTCATTGATTAGATTTACGAATATTACTTGATTAGTTTTTTGTAAATAGTAGTGCACTTAGCGCAATTGTTCTTTATGTTTTAAAATAAACAACGAGGCATTCAACTGTGTAAACCGTTGAAGTGGCAACAGTATACATGTTAACTGAGATTCTTTTTGTCGTACAGGCGTTAGACTGTGACGTTTACACAGCTGTTTGTTTTATTTAAACTTCACAATCTATCATTGTTGAATAACGAAGCTGTTACAATTCATCATGTATAATGAATTTACAACACTTGAATGACTAATTATATTATAACGATTGTTCCTATATTGAGCTATGCCAGTATATAGTAGAGCTAGTTATTCCAAGCTAAGTTTATAATACTGAATAGCTGTGATCGTTTGCTTCATAATTTAAATTTATTACTTTGATTTAGTTAACGTTATTACAGATACCTAGAATGTAAATTGTAGTAATTATTTCTGCTTTCTCCCCTATTCGAAAGTAGTTACGAGAGAGCGCACTACCTTTAGTGCAATAGAAATACCGATACATCATAAGGTAACACATGCATGTAGGTCACATCGGAGGAAGTGGAATTAAATGTGAGCCCCCTATTTGCAGTGCACGTTGCGCCCGCGTCGTCCGCATGCGCGCCTGTTTCGCACCGCCGTCCGAGTTAATTGGGAAAACTGGCATGCCTCAGCGTATATTTAAATCATGATACGCCATGTAAATACCTCGCATATTTTAGATATAACCACCAACTGAATCCCTTGGATTGCATACTTTGTGTAACCTACTCATCTTCGAATTACGGAAGTATGCGTAGATTCAATTACGTTTTAAAACTGGAAAAGGGAAGATAATGACAAAAAAAATATAGTTACAGGTAATTGTGCTGTATCTTATGACATTGAATAACGATATTTTCCCACATAGAAACTAGCCTGGGGAAAAACAATGACATAGTATTTGTAGAAGTAAACTTATTAGAAACTAAGGAAAAACAAACTATTACCTCATCGTAAAAACAAATGCAGTCTACGGCAGATATTAGCAACGCCAGTAGCATTGAGAGGCACTGGACATAAACTTCTACGTAGTTCGGAGCAGCGTCAGTGAATAGGTGCTGCCATAGTATAGCTGCAGAAGAGACAGCAGCGAGAAGCCAGTACACTGCAAGGTAGAGTATGGGGGCTGCAGAGCGGCGCGTCCAAAGGGCAATATGCAGAGCCGCAGCGGCCAGCCAGGCCAAAGGGGCCATCAGTCCTGCTACCAACTGCACCGTCTCCGCCGGTCGGAGCGAGGCCGTTGCCGCGCCGCAACACCATACCACTGCTAGGGCGAGACTCGCTACTCCTCTTACATTTTGGCACCGCCATTGTTTTCCGTACCTTAAACATAACGAACATTATACTATAATGGGCATATATTCATCATTAATATTCTAATGACTGTTGTAACAAGTCCGTGAGCCAAATGTTTTGGTGCTGAATTCCTCTTTTGTTTTTAATTTGTGTTAAATATACAACATATGGTTTTTGTATACACACTGAAGATATTGATGGTCCTCTTTGTTCTTTTCATAAACGTAAATTATGTAATGCCTATAGTACCATTTTATAACTAATTGTACTACAAACCAATGCGGCTGCAAGGGCGCGCAGCAACAGATGAGCGCAGCAGAGATGGTCGCGCAGTAAAGGTGCAACGAGTGCAGCGCGGCCGCCAGCGCGCGCATTTCGCACGCTGTCTCGCCGCGCGCGCACACTGCTTCCATGATGCCTTCTGCAACGACGCTGCGGGGTCACGGGCGTGCTCAGGCAAACGTACGCATACCACAGTCTCGACTCTATGAAATCCACATTTTGACTCTTTACGATAGGAGGTTTGCTTTAGTTTAGGTCGAAACTGATGAGGTGCATATTCATCTTTTAGCTGTTTAACGTAGGTTTCAACAAACAGCTAGACTAAACCCGATGAACACAAGAAATTCCAGTTCCAATTCTTCGAATACAAGAAACAAATAGGGAAAGTATAGTTCCCAATATTTTATTGATTCGGTTGTCGACCTTGAATCGAATCGAATATTCCATGTGTGGAGCTATTCATGGACACACTGTTAGCCAAACTAATTGAGAATAAATATCCAGTACGAAGGTACATACATAGTTAAACGTTACGATCTTGAGCCCAGATGATTTGCCTGTTATGACGTCAACTCGACCATTGTTTTAAACAAAATGCTAGCGATACGGATATACGTGCTTCATTGAAGTGCTATGAAGTGTGTCGAACTAAAGCAATTACCTAGATTGTATATTTATGAGATTCTTTATTATAAATTTAAATTTATGACCAAATGCCATCAGACCCACATTAACAATGTGTTTACCGTATTCTCGTTGTGAATTTCCCTAACCTTTAAATTACAAATTTGATTTCCTTCACTTGCTAATTAGACTAGGTCATCTGTATCTTAATCAAATATTTGGCCAAGAGTTTTTCACCGTAGGCGACATCTGGGGAAATGATAGATAAGATAGGTTGTGATATTATTCATGGAAAGTTATTTTTTCCGCTGATGATGATGATTGATGGAATATTACAACTTTATTTTTATCATTTTCCTATTTACAAAAAGGACTAAGAATTTTATCATACTCTGATTTGCTCAACGTCAAGCGATGGTTAAATTTTATCATTTTTCAAATATAAGGCAAGTTTCGTTTGAAGCTTAGAGAAACTACACAGAGAAATTAGAAAATTTGTGCGGTTTCACGTACCTACCACGATAATCATAAAAACGTCTCCCAATTGCTTACGAATCTATTATACGATCTTATTTGTTTAGTGTTCGTAAAAGTATGCATGTATTTAAATAAATAATTTGTTTGTTTTATTAGCATGCTCTTTTGTTGAACTGTTAAAATTTAACTCGATCATCATTCGACAACTTCATTATCAATCGACCTCCTGTTTTAGCGCTTTAAACAATGTTTCCCATAAGTACATACATACTATTGTTTTAATGTTTATCGTGTTCGGGACGATGACACAAGATTATTTTGAAAATAACAGCTCGTCGCATTCGCGTCATTCCTTTAATTTCCTTTGCGTAACAATGAAAACAAACTCACCTCCAAAAGTGTTGTACCGTTATATGATTAACTTCACAGATTTATGAAAACTCTTCGTTAAAAACCACAGCCGAACTCATGTACCACTGTATTCGTGCACACATTTCACTGGCTCATTAGTTTTAGATGATTAGGTTGGATTTAACGGCATCGCAATGGTTGTTTTTATTAGTCGAGACTTGTGCGATACGTCGCGGAGCATCGAAGCTTGTACGGTCGAGCTCACACGAACTGGATGTGTGCTACACGCACCCGCGGCGGTTTCGCTTATACTGAATCATGTGTTTTAATCGAGGCACGAGCCAGCTCGTCAGCCATCGCCGCCGTCGTCGCTGCCGCCGGCCGTCGCGTCAGACGTCGCGCCGCGTCTCTACGCGCCACTTCCCTCCACAACACTAGGAGTTTGAAACTTAAAGCAGATGGGGAAAATGTGACCGACGCCGACCCGCTTGCTGCATTTCAAGTTACTAGTTCATTTAAGTCGTGGCAACTGGTTGTTCTTCTAGTGTACTTTCGAATAATACTTAGATCAAGCGCTACGAGACTCGATATTGATGTGGACCGTTCGACGACCTCTTTTTCCTTGAATGGTCCTATCGCCGTTTCCTTTCTCAAGAAGTGCTTATTATACATACAACTATTAATGCAGTATTGGTATGTACATATGTAATGGAAGCGGGATTTTTTAATATGGATACCTACACATTCAAGAGAATGTAATTGTTATTATGAATGTAAAATTTTATTTCTACGCATAGTGTGTCTAATACTTTGCTATGTGGGACATTGCATTCGGTTCAGTGGTCAATTGGTGAAACATATCGCATAGCGTCACGATGTCATTAACTTGATTATTACAATAACAGTCATTGATCATGTAATCAAATTTTGCCACTATTGTGCAACAAGTGCGACGGTGATTATGGTTAGCCGTATACGTATGGATCCTGAATTCGAAAAATTGAAACAAGTTTCTATTGACCTACCGAACACGTAACTCTTTTCCATTAGAATTTTTAACAGTCAGTTCTCGTCAATAAACAAACTAATTTGTTTTTTCACTTACGTTTTAAAAAAAGTTAAAATAAACGTCGTTATAAAAAAAAAAATTAATTTCGTGTCGTGTCTCACGTTACGACAAGAGAACCAAATTGACAGGCGTTCGCGCTGATACAAAATTGAAATTCCGGACGCAATTCCTACCATTGGAAATAAACACCAGCAATATATTTACAGGCCAAATTAACGGTCATCGGGTTGTATAAATTTTGTCCTAAGGTATGATTTTCAACAAAGAATTTAGACACAAAATTGTATATCTTTGGTTGTCACCGTTCGTGACTGTGGTGTAAGGTGTATGGCACCGAGGTGTGCACACGCCGATGGGACAATGAGTACCAGTTGCGAGACGTTGATCCCCGTGTGACATGTATTCCTTCCATGCTTTTTGTTCGCTCTCACGCAACTCTCTCATTTAATTCAATACGCCTATCCATATTACGTGCAATTAAGTGCGTCCTTATATAGTGTGTGTCAATACATCCAACCTTAAACGTTGGTTACAATGACATGAATCCAAATGCTACTGGATAATTCTTCTAAGTTTAACTAAAATAGTAAAAATAAAACACATTTACTTTATAGTACAGTATTACTTTAATTTAAATGAATATTTGCAAATCCAATTTTAATTGTACGTACCTACATCAAAACGAAAATATGGAAGTATTTGTAGGTACAGTTGTGTAATTTTCGAAAATTGCAAGTACTAATTTTTCAGAAAACTTTTTGAAAACTTATGTTCTACGTTTTAAAAGTTTCATTTAACATGAATTATAAAATAAAATTATTATTATTATTATTAAAATTGTATAAACATAGCTAAATGTAATTTTGTAAACCCAGCTTGGCTTATTTTCACAAATTCTCATAGTAGAGTTCAGTATCTTCAATATTTTTTGACAAGTGTCTCTGTCAAATGTGGAAAAATATTATGAAAAATAATTCTTTATCTGATAATATTTTTTCAAAATCGAAATGTTTCTATGACCCAACACTATTTGTAGGTAAAAAGAAATTTGAAATTATACTGAATTAATTTCTGTAAAAATAATGGTCAAAATAGGTCGAAAGAAGATTGAGACACGTAATAACACGACAAGCTTAGAAATATTAGTGTATAAGTGATATTTACATATTAGTTAGCAAGATTGTTGTATCGTTCTATCATGATTAGGTTGGTCAGATGGTAACTATTGTTTATTACTTATCTTTGATAGATAAAACTACATGCTTAGGTCGGTAAATAATTAAAATGGTTATACACATACGTATATATTTACAATATCATTTGGAGTCTAGAAATTATCATCCCATCCTGAGGTTTCGTCTGGGGGTAACTTGTCTTTCGGGTACTTTTCGAAGTTGGACAGGTCGAGGTTGTTTGCAACGGGTTGAATCAGTGGCGCTTTGAGGCGCTTCTCGCGGAGTGCTGTCCAGTCGAAACCCAGGAACCATCTAGAAAAGTATTTTTTTTAATTTATAGGTACATGATGTAACTAAAAGGTCGATTTGCATTTTTGCTTGTTCTTCAATGTCATTTAGGTATGTGTTATATTAATCTTGCACAACTACCAAATTAGAACATTCTTATATAGACTACTTTTATATACTTTTTTTATAATAACAAGTGACGGGTCGCAAGCGACACGCCTATCCATAACAGTTGCAGTGTCACTCAGAGCTTCAAATTGTAAAGATTTAGGGGCACTGCCACTGCACCCGTCACTCTGAGACATAAGTTGACAAGTCACATGTGCTTGTAATTTCACCAACACCCTTACCCTTCCAAAACGGAACGCAGTAACGCTGACATTACTGTTTGACGGCAGAAATAGGTAAGGTGGCAGCACTTCTCTGGACGAACTCTTTCACAAGGAGAGAAGCTCTAATCTGCTACTTTATACGAGGGCTGCTGAGAAGTAACCTCTTTTGATTGTTACCAATTTGAAAACATATAAACTGGAAACTATAGATAGTGCCGCTCTTTTTTCAAAATTAGCGACACTTATTTATTACGGTTACGTCGGAAGAAAAATATAAATGTTTAAAAATTATCATCGTTTTATCAGGCTAATGTTCTTTCTACCAAATATAATAAGTGTATATCCTTGTAGGGCTATTGAAAATATTTTATACTTATACTTCGTTTTTTTCAAATTAGGAAAAACGTAAACAAAGAAGTGTTCCTAAATCCTTTTCTTTAAGAAAAAAGTGATAATGGATGACAAATGACATTTATTTTTAAAATAGGTAGGTGCATTAAGTTTAAAAAGATGGAGAAAGCTTTCGTTTAATCTTTATTCAAAACTACGAGTAAAAGAAACATAATATTTATATAAAAGTTAATAAGTTTGAGAATTTCGTTTCACAGCTTAGATTGCTTTGTTTACAAAATGACGGAAGGAAATGTCGCCTGATAAAAGATCAAAAAATTCCTTCTATCTAATGCTAAAAAAACGATGTATACCCATACTTCGTTTTTTAGATTACCATTCAGCCGCCCCATATATGAATATAACTTATTGACAGAACGAATTTGACGATTTGAACTCAAGACGTAAAATACTAAAACGAAAATACGTTGCCTTAAAAAATTGCTCAATGCCAACGCTAGTACATAGATATCGTTGCTCAATGCTATAATTTACGACAGTCATGCCAGTGACGATAAAATTTTTAAGGAAGAAACATTTGTCAGAAATTTCATTTCTTTTTGAAATTTTGTTATTCATAACTAACAACTAAATAAAATATAGTAAACCAAGTGCCAAATTTAATGAAAAACGCAACCCAGAAAATCATTGTTGTTGTAATAATATCATTGTTATAGCATATACTGAAAAATAGTCGTTGTAATATAACTTTATTTCTGTTTAAATCACAGATACATGGTGTAATTTTGAGACTAATAATTGCTGCATTTAATTGGTATAAATGAGCAACATGCTGAATTAATCGTTGATAACGTTTATGTCGCATATCGCGTTTTTTATCATTATTTCATTATTTAAACGAACGTTTTTTTATGTATCTTTAATAATACTAAATATATATTTTCATAGGTGTCGCATAATGCTCGCTTTGCAACAACGCAGTGTTTTTTTTTTCAAAAGTCTGGCCGGTATTTCGAAATTAAAAATTTACCGACTGTAATATTTTTCATTAATTTAATTTTTCAGCCGTTATTATCCCACTGCATGGCCTTCTATTCACTTTCTCCTCTCATCACGATTTAACGGCTATAGGCCAAAATTTCATATATAGGTATATTCGAGCATCTCGCTCGACTTTAATTCAGTTTTTTTTTTTCAATAAAGGTTGCGTAAGGCTGTAGTAAAGTCCATGTTAATTTAATTACTATTTCATCTATTTTTTATTTATTGAAATATAAAATTGTTTTGTTTGTTTATATTTTGACGACTTTCGTGGTTGAGTGGATTGCGCGCCGCGCCGGTTTTCATGGTGTCGCCATTTCTGAGGTCCGGGGTTCGATCCCCGGCGGTGATGTAGAAAAACTAACTTTTCTATATTGTCTCGGATCTGGGTGTTTGTGGTACCGTAATTGTTACCGATTTTCGTAACGCAAGTGCTACATACTTTGGGATCAGAGTAACGTATATGATGTTGTCTAATATTTATATTTATTCATGTTTTATTGTCACTTTGTGTGTAATTGGTATCAAAGTTATAGTCGTTTAATTTTTTAAAACTCATATAGCATTTATTGCATTCTATTAAATTTGTTCAGAAGGAGTGTCGGTGGATGTTTGGTCATATACGATTCTCATTGAGAATGTTATCTTAGGACGATAAAATAAATCTTATCTTAGCTTGTTATTAGGGTGAAGGTGTAAACACTGTCCCTCATACCGGGGATTCCAATTAGGACATTGCGCGTCATGACAATTTCAGTACCTACATGAAACTTGAAATTTTTGCTTTAAAAATAATAAATGATAATAAGTACCTACATGATTGCAGACCTATAACTGTGGTCTACATTGATAAGATATTTTATATGCTAAGTTCCAATTAATAGGGTGTTTAACAATGTAAGATCTAAATCCAACAAGTGAAATTTAGGGTAGATACGTACTTTTGGCTTTTAATGTCAGATATGCCATTCTTGAGATATCCAAGTCGTTCAGCCGGCACGGCGCGACATAGCTTGCGTATAAGCCACTGCGCAGACTTGGGCACTCGCGAATGGAAGGCTACGGAGTCGATGCCTCGCAGGATCATGGTGTAGGTCTTCATATGGTCACCGCCCGCCGCGCGAAACGGAGGCCTCCCTACCAGCAACTCATGGATGAACACACCCAAAGCCCAGCAGTCCACGGCGCGATCATGACCCTGATGGTTGCGAGGTAACTAGTATTAAGTCAGTTACTTTTTAAATTTTTACTGTAAAATCGGTAAAATAGGTAATATAGGTAATTGAACAAAACATCGGACTCTAAAATCTTTTGAAAGGGGCAAAAATTAATAATTAGACACCATGTATATTGTTTCAAATTTTAAAGTGGTCTGGACCCCGATTCAGAACTCTTTGATACCTTAACCGAATCGTTCGATTGGATATCGTTCTCGAATTGAAGGGCTCTTTCCGAGCTATTCAGAACATTCGAGTTAAAATGCTCGATTCGGATTCGGATACGACATTGTAATCCAACAACGTTTATGGAGTTCATCATCAGCCTATTGCAGTCCACTGCTGGACATAGGCCTCCCCTAATGCACGCCATTTCGCCCTGTTCTCGGCTTGACGCATCCATTTCCTGCCAGCAATCTTCCGCAGATCGTCACTCCATCTGGCTGGAGGGCGTCCCACACTACGTTTGCCAAGTCGTGGTCTCCACTCAAGAACTCGTTTACCCCAGCGGTTGTCGGTTCTTCGGCAGATATGTCCAGCCCACTGCCACTTCAGCTTGCTTATCCGAAGAGCTATGTCGATCACTTTGGTTCTCTGTCTGATAACCTCATTACGGAGTTTATCTTTCAGAGAAACTCCGAGCATAGCTCGTTCCATAGCTCGCTGAGCGACTTTAAACTGGTGGACTAGCCGTATCGTGAGTGTCCACGACTCAGCTCCGTACGTTAGAACTGGTAGGACGCACTGGTTGAAAACCTTTGTTTTTAAGCTCTGCGGGATGGGTGACGAAAAGACTCGACGGAGCTTCCCAAACGCTGCCCAGCCAAGCTGAATCCTCCTCCTGGCCTCCTTCTCGAAGTTATTTCTACCTAACTGCAGAATCTGCCCGAGGTAAGTGTATTCCGAAACAACTTCAAGAAGGTGACCATTGACGCAGATGGGTCTCGGATCAATGTGGTCATTGATCATGACTTTGGTTTTATCAAAGTTCATGCCAAGACCAATCCGCCGCGAGGCGGATGCTAGGCTGTTCAGCATCTGATCCAGTTCCTCCAGCGATTCTGCCATTAGGACTATGTCATCTGCAAATCGCAAGTGTGAGATGTACTCGCCGTTTATGTTAATGCCCATCCTTTTCCAGTCCAGCGTCTTAAACATATCCTCCAATGCAGCGGTGAACAGTTTCGGGGATATGACATCCCCCTGTCTCACCCCTCTGCGTAATTGGATAGGTTCAGGCTGCTGGTCCTGTACTTGGACACTCATGGTAGCAGCATCGTAAAGACATCTCAACACTTGTATATAACGATAGTCCACTTGGCACCGCTGTAAGGATTCCAGGACAGCCCAGGTTTCGACAGAGTCAAAGGCCTTCTCATAGTCCACGAAAGCTAAACACAGGGGCCGATTATACTCTTCGGACTTCTGTATAATCTGCCTCACTGTGTGTATGTGGTCTATGGTGCCATATCCTCCCCGAAACCCGGCCTGTTCCGGTGGCTGAAACTCGTCGAGTCTTCTTGCGAGGCGATTCGTGATGACTCTAGAAAACAGCTTGTAGACGTGACTCAGGAGTGAGATGGGTCGGTAGTTTTTCAGTAGAGTTTTATCTCCCTTTTTAAAGAAGAGAACTACAATACTCCTGTTCCACGCCCGTGGAGTTCTCCCGCAGTGAATGACCAAGTTAAAGAGCTTCTGAAGTTCCTGGATAATAGGAACTCCTCCAGACTTCAAAAGCTCCGAAGTAACTCCGTCTTCACCGGGGGCTTTTCCATTTTTAAGCTGTTTTAGAGCCAACACGATCTCGTCTTGACTGATTTCTGGCAGGTCGTCGGTATAGTGGCGCGTCAAGGTGGCTCTCAAATCGTGATTGTCACGCTGGACCCGAGGAGCATTTACAGCGTACAAACGGCCATAGAAGTCCTCTATCTCGGCGAGTATCTGCTGCCTTGACGTAACGGTTAGGCCATCGTGCGTTGTAAGCTTCGTCAGGTGGCTCCTTCCAAGCTGCTGAGTGAATACTTTGGACCCTCGGTTTCGCTCTATCGCCTCCTCAATGAGGCGTGTATTGGAGCTCCGAAGGTCACGCCGTACCATCTTCGCAATCTGCTTGTTTAGGTATGACCTCTCTGACGAAGTGTCCTGGATGTCATCGCGTCTTTTCGTCGTAAGTTGCAGAGTCTCATCCGAGAGTTTAGACTTCTTTCCCGTACGCTGCAACTGACAGAATTTGATGCCCTCGCTTCTCAGCGTCCCAACCACGCCTTGTAGGGCCTCGTCAACGTCCTCGGTGGGTTCCAGCTCGACGAATCTCGCTTCGAGAAGTTCATGGAACTTCTCGGAGCCCGCCATGATCTGGAGTGGATTAGGACGGAGCGTGGACTTCATCAAGCGGCTTCTTTCAAGTTTGACATCGATATTCAGAGAGCCTCGTACAAGTCGGTGATCAGATCCGGTGCTAAACCTGTTGATCACTGAGACATCTCTGAATATGCGTCTCTTGTCCGTCAGGATGAAATCGATCTCATTTTTAGTCACAGCGTCGGGGCTTCGCCAAGTCCACTTCCTTTGAGACTTCTTCTTGAAGAACGAATTCATCAAGAAGAGCCCCTCGTGCGCGAGGAAGTTGACTAGCGTTTGCCCCCTGTGATTCCTTACTCCATAACCATGCGGGCCGACTCGAGACTCGTCAAGATTTGGGAATCCCACTTTAGCGTTAAAGTCCCCCATAACAACGTTGAAGTGAGCCTTGGTGGTGTTGTGTAAGGCTTTCGATATGTCCTCGTACATATCTTCTACATCGTCATCCGAATGTGTCGAGGTCGGTGCGTAGGCCTGAATGATCTTCAGGCTATACCTTTTTGATAGCCGAAGGATCAGGTACGCTAACCTGTTCGACACACTGGAGATCTCTTCAACGTTGTTAGAGAGGACTCTGTTGACGAGGAATCCTATACCACCTTGGGATGTTTGATCACCCTCGCGGAAGTACAGTAGATGGCCCGAGTCTAGGGTTATGGTGTCCTCTCCCTCTCTTCGGACTTCACACAGCCCCAGAACATGCCATCTAATGTTCTCCAGTTCCACTTCCAACTGTGCAAGGTGTTCGTCAAGCCTAAGAGTTCGTCCGTTAAACGTAGCCAGGGTCAGTTGTTTTTGGTAGCCTGCGGTAGCCCGGGGATTCTTAGCACCCCCTACCCCGCCGGTACCATGGCCGCTACCATGACCAGGAATAGCGGGGCGACCGGGAACTGGGGGCCTTCGATTGGTTGTGCCGTCCATGAAGGGGGTTATTGCCCATAATCTCCACGCTGGGCATGCGGGTTGGAGATCGCAGGGCGCTGCCTTTGTACTACCGACGCTGCTGCCCGTCGGTAGCCAGCAGATTTGACAATTGTTTATGGAGTTAGTCGGCGAATATAGAATATAAGAAAAATGAAATCCTTTTATATACATTTTTAAGACTTTAAAGGCCTAAAATACAGGAATGCATTAGTCTCGCATTAAAATTAATAAAATTGAACAAAATCCAGACTTTATTTAAAATAATAAGAGATTTCCATAGTACATTCTTGCTTTGTAAACAATAGGACGTTCGGTAACTTTCATTCGATTACTGTGTTCTGAATAACGTTTGTAGCCATTGCCGGTCGAGAAATACGAGTAATCGTACGGATGTGACGTTATTTCGGTTCGGTTTCGAATACGACAGTTGGACGCTCGATTCGGTTATTGTGAATAAAAATTAAAAGAAATCGTACGATAGGTATGTAATTGAATCGTTCGACAACAGAGTTATCGTAAGGTTTTGAATCGACCTGCTGATTGATTTACCTTATTGAGTACAATCTCTGGTGCTACGTACTCTGGTGTACCCGCAAATGTCCATGTTTTGCTGTTGTCTTTCAACTCTTTAGCAAATCCGAAGTCAACCTAAAAAGTAAGTGAGTAAAGTTACATACATTGTTTCAGTCTGTTATTGTTTTCATTTCATTTCAATGTTATTTGGAGGGTGTTCTGCATATGTGCATCAACAAGACATATAATTTGAAAGGTGTATGTATAAATAACATTTTATCATATTGTTCCATCATATTGAGCAATGGTAATAATAATAACGCATACACTAAACATAGCTATGCACTAGGGAAATTTTGTGTCGCGGGTGCCATGGACACATACATAGACAACAACAAACTCACGAGAGAAATAAATGTAGGCTATACAAAAATTTCTCCCTGCCCGGGAATCGAATCTGTGTGGCAGTCTGGCACGGTAACTGTTCGGCCACGGACACAGTTTAGTGCAGACATTTAATCGTATTTTAATTTAATTATAGGTACATACCTATAATTAAATTAAAATACGATATACATATATCTAAACATGGTAGTTTCTTATTTTTAATGTTATCAAACTTACGTTTCCTAATGAAATGGAAATGGTTTTATATTAAACGTCATAAATTTAAAATTTCAACCAACATTGCCAACAATTTTAATTATGATTTAATAAATGTAAGTATTTTGAAATAGCACTAAATAAAGGATATACTTTTTTAATTGTTAAAAAAATTATTCAGAAAGGTCATTTTGTTCTCTTCATATTTTTGTTTTTGTATGATATCAAGTGACGAGACGAACATGTCGTGCACCGTTCGCTTACTATCGCAACACACGACTTGCTCGTGGCGTCTCTTCGTATCATGAAAAAAACTACGCTCTAGTTACGTACCAATTTAATATATCCATTTTTATCGAGCATTAAATTTTCAGGTTTAAGATCTCTGTAGACAATGTTCCTTGCGTGGAGATATTGGAAGGCTTCAACGACACACGCCGCCATAAACCGTGCTACATTTTCAGAAAAGAAATGTCGTTTCTGTAGAATTGTCCACACGTCTCCGCCCATGACAGCCTCCATCAAGAAATAAATATATTTATCGTCCTTAAATGTCCGGTATAATCTGAAAAAATACACATTTCATTCACTCTGTTCTGTTGTTTGTCGTTGTTTACTTGAGTCACCATTTTCTTGTTAAATTTCTATGAGCATGTGTAATATGGAATTGATATATATACACGTCGACATAATTGTTGCAGATAAGAGAATGGGAAACAGACATTTCATAGAATTATGTACTCATAAACATTTATTAATTCATTAATTCATTTTGTTGAAAGGAATAACGTAGTCGTAAGAGATATGTGTTGATTATAGAATGGTTTCGATCCGTCCGTATCCGAAATGTCGTAAGTTAATTCTACTCGAAATGCTAAACAACTGTCTCGGAGGAACCTTATCCAATGGTACGAAATTTCAAATGTATTTTTAAGCCTTAAAGACCTGATAATACCTAAATAATTGATTCGTGCGCAAAAATGTAGGTGTCTGCCATGGGGTCTAAACAGATTTTCGTACTTACCTGCATATGAAGGGGCTGTTGCACGCTACCATGATGTGCTTTTCGTTGAAGACGTGTTCCTGTTGTTGTTGCTGCACCATCTCGATTTTTTTAAGGCACTTGAGAGCGAACGTAAGCGATGGGTTCGGTTTGTACTGTACCAATTCCACGCGTCCGAACCCGCCAACGCCCATTGTGCCCACAATTTCCAGGTCTCTTAGTTCCACGAACTCGTATTCTGCGATATGTTGTCAAATTCAGAATGGCGACGGCAAATAAATCAAGTTTCTTCGGTGCAATTAATTAATTATTAATTATATAATTAATATTTTAACCACTTCTGTTTCAACTGTTTGTCACACATTTATCACTTACCTACTCTTTATCTACTGATTTTTAAAAGAATAATTACCGCTTTTAAATACTCGTGGCTCTTGGGATGGTCGAGATCTAGTATATCGTTTTTTCAACTCCTCTAAATTGCCAAGTAGTTTTGTGAAAGGCCTGCGAATTATGAATTTAATTACTTACTTTAGAATTTCACGATACTATTCTACATTTAAAGAAATTCTAAATTAGAGGTTTATTTAATCTGTGATAAGTACACGCGGTCCAATGTCAAGCACTCTACGCCAGGTGGCTGAGCTGTGACGGTGGCAAGGCGGCGGTCTTCATGCAACAGCGCCTGCTCGCCAAAGAACTCCCCGCGGCCGAGTGTACCCACGTATTGCTCAGCTTCGTTGCCATCACGCTTTGTAACCATTACTTTGCCGCCCCGGATGATGTAAAACTTGTCTCCGCGATCGCCTTGGCGGACAACCGGTGTGCCGGCTGAGAAAAATTCCTGGAACGAACTTCGCGACATTAGCCAGAAGTCGACGTACGTAGGGACAGGAAAGTAGGAACGTTTTAGTTTAGACGTTTATGCGGTTGTACGCACCCTTTTCAAAAATTCTGAAAGTTGGGCTAGTATTACAGGATCGATGCCTTTTAAAAGAGGCACCGAAGACAAGAAGCGCATGTTGTCCTCATGTTCCTGGCGACCGCTGGTCACCATGATCTTTTGAAACACTCGTCTCTCCAACATCCATACCTTTGCCTCTGTTGTACCTACGAAAAGCCATTTCAATGAAATTACATAGGTACATTACAACAACAGCTATGCATGAGCTAACAAATTTCCTAAAGTTTCTGATAATTTGGGAATTCGTTATAGACCTTATATGACCAGGGAGTCGATTCAAAACCTTACGATAACTCTGTTGTCGACCGATTCGATTTGATATCGTACGATTACTTTTCATTTTTATTCACAACACTCGAATCGAACGTTAAGCTGCCGTATTCGAAACCGAATTGAAATAACGTGACACCCGTACGATTACTCGAGCTTCTCGACCGACAAAGGCTACAAACGTTATTCAGAACAGTTATCGAATGAAAGTTACCGAATATCTTATTGTTTACAAAGCAAGAATGTAATATAGAAATCTCTTATTATTTTAAATAAAGTCTGGATTTTGTTCAATTGTATTGCACATTTTAATGCAAGGCATTCCTATATTTTAGGCCTTTAAAGCCTTAAAAATGTATGTAAAAGGATTTTAATTTTTCTTCTAATCTATTCACCGACTAATCCGTAAACGCTGCTGGGTAACAATATCTTATTCGAATTCGAATCGATCTTATTCGAATTCGAATCGAACGTTTAATTCGAATGTTCTGAATAGCTCGGAAAGCGCCCTTCGATTCGAGAACGATATCCAATCGAACGATTCGGTTAAAATATCGAAGAGTACTGAATCGGGGTCCTGACCCCAATCCTTTTACATACATTTTTAAGATTTTAAAGGCCTAAATAAGGGAATGCATTAGTCTCGCATTAAAATAAATTATTAAAATTTAACAAAATCCAGATTTTATTTAAAATAATAAAAGATTTCCATATTACATTTTTGCTTTGTAAATAATAGGACGTTCGGTAACTTTCATTCGACAATTGTATTCTGAATAGCGTTTGTATATAGCCTTTGCCGGTCGAAAAGTATAAGTAATCGTAATCGTCATTTCGGTTCGGTTATTGTGAATAAAAATGAAAAGAAATCGTACGATATTTAATCGAATCGGTTGACAACAGAGTTATCGCAAGGTTCTTAATCGACCTGCTGGACGCTGTTGGAGCTGTCACGCTACAACAGTTCAACAATTTTTCGCAAAAGAACATACGGAAAGCTTTCCATTCCATAATAAGAAAGCGACAAGCCTCCTTGATGCAACGGGTGCGCACTATCACCAACAGCCTCCTGAGCTTATGTCCGTTTACTGAACGGTTTAACTCACTGTACGTATGTGGTACTCTCTGCTTGGGCTGCCAAATAAATATACCTACGTATAATGCAATGTAATGTACTTACTAACATGGTTTATAAATTTCGTACTAATTGCATATGGATTAAGGTTCGAAATGAATGCTTATTTTTATTATTACTATTATACTTACATGTTATGGACGCAAATCGTTTGGCTTTGTACAAAATAGCGAGTTCTCCAAATACTACGCCTGCGCCGAACTTTTTGACAACTTGACCCCCTTTGAGAACTTCAAACTCTCCGTAAGCTGAGATAAATAAATGGCTTCCACTTTCGCCTTCCCGAATAATGAGACTACCCACCGCATAATTCTTGGGACTCATGGCATCTACCACAACTCTAAGTCTTTCCTCGTCCATCATATTTTTTACGAAATCGTTAGCCATGATTGCTTTCTTTATCTGTTCAATTGACCTGTGCAAGAAAAGTGTAATGAATTTTTACATAAGAAGTCGGTGTTGTATGGAATATCCGGCATTGTTAAGTAAACTTACTGTTCATCTTTTTCATATTTTGGTAGTTCGGTTTCGGCTGATCGCGCACTCTCGAACGGAGCGAGTGGTTCTAGAATACCTCGTTTACGTCGCGGTGCTTCGGAGAGTTGACTGGCATCACTATCTCGCGTAGGTTTCAAATTTGTGTCATCGGCATCACTATTTCGAGCAGATTTCAAATTTGTGTCATTATCTGAATCTATGCTCTGTAAGGCCTCAGAGTCTACGCTTTGCGCACTCATGTCACTTAGCTTTTTCGTAACCTGGACACACGAAGGTCCAGGTTCAAGTGTAGATAGGCTGATTGACGATGTTTGGGAGCGACCATTTTGATTAACATCTTTATGAAAATTTGCCGGTGGTGTCTGTAAAATACATTGTTGTAATACATAATTTATATATTTTCTTTAATTAGTGTTGACTTGGTTTAGTAACTAATTAAACGTTTGTTACATTTGAGACATTTGGTACCTTGTTGTCGTTCATGTTTTCGATACAAGGTTCAAATTACCTTTACAAAATGTTGATTAATTTTCTTTCGAATTTATATCAGCACAATTGACGATTCTCTTTTACCGACAGTTACTCATATAAGTATCGGTTAATCCGGAAGTGCGTAAGTAAACTATCTATAGGTATCTATACTGACATGCCTTCTTTAGATAACTATTCGGTTATAGTCTTGGTATTGCACAGACAGTCTTGGTCTTGCTACAAGAGTCTCGCAAGTCCTGCTATTACCCATTGTTACTTACGAAAGTATCGTATTCTATCAGATATTCTTATAAAAAGTGTCCATGAAGGTTGCTTCGAATTTTAGAACAATGCAAAAGAGTAAGTAGGTACCACGGAAGTGTGGTAGGTACGTACGTTTTGATAGGCATAGTGAATTTAATTTTTATTGAATGTCAGAATGTTTCACCATCATGATATTCAATTATTTTTGTGAAATTACTTCCGATCGAAAGAATTTTTTCTAGGTGTTCGATCTTAGTATTAATATAATTATAAGAAACTTTATATTAAAAATTATCAATGAAATAAAACAGTCCATAAACTACATTTTTGATTTTACTTGCCTATTACAAACTTCCACATATAAACATCAAAACAATAAAACGATATTTTTCTGATGCTACTTACATTTTTTACAGGTTTAAATAACTGTTAAATGTTAAATATCATATTACATTTTCAGGTGCCTATATCTTACACATTAAACGTGGAAAGTTTTGCGAAAGTAAAAAAAGTTTTCAAAGGTATGATTTTTTTATTTAATATTTTTAAAGAACTCTCTACCATTGTCGACGCAAAGTTTCATGTGTCTGAACCTATTTTCGAAACACGTTTTCCAGTCCGCCTCTTTTATGGTCTTTTTAAACGTGCTAGCGCATCTTCCGGCGATGAAAACTGTATCCCTTTGAGTTGATTTGTTATTTTAGGACATAGAAAGAAGTTACACGGTGCCTAATCAGAGCTGCACAGGAGGGTGACTTAAAATTTTAACCAATATACGGTTCAGGAAGTACTTCGTTTTTAGTGCCGAGTGCGCGGGCGTGTTGCCATGGTGAAGCAGTAGCTTTTTTTATGATACTAGGTGACGGGACGTCACCAAGCGTCACGCCTGTCCATAACAGTATGACGTCGTCGGCACGCATCGGAAAAGTTGCCTCTCCGAGCAACTGCGTCGGCATTACTACCGACAGGCCGGTGCTTGCGGTCCGTGTGATGCGGATCAGTGGACGCAGTTGTATAAACTTCTGTACAAAGAATACAAAAATCCGTATAATGCGATCCGTCCGATACGTGCGCTGCGGATCTGTGGACGACTAAATCTTCAGTTTTTTTAAATAAAAGAAAAAGTTTATCTTCGGATGCGTTCTGAATTTACACCTCATCAATTTTTATTTTGCTTGTATTTTTATTTTGTCTGAATAAGTGACTATTGAAAATGTAATTTTAGTTCTTCTACGAATTAAAATAATTTGATAAAATTTTGCTCTGATCCATTTGACAATTGGTATGCGGAGGCCTTAAGAGTGATTGATAGAAGCTTGTGATGAAAATAGGTTTATAGCCATTTTCAAATATGGCCGCCATATAAGCGTTTGTAGGCGGCAGAAAAAATTGCTCTAATTCGACTGAAAATTGACACGTGAGGGGTCTCTATGGGTGTTTAATAATAATTTGGAATAAAAAATATTTTTTGTCATATTTCAATATGGCTGCCATACAAACTTTTATGGCGACAGATAAAAATTTGCTCTAATTCGACTATAAATTGGCATGTTGGGATTTCTATGGGTATTTGATAATAACTTGCGGTCAAAATTAATTTTTCCATAAAAGCGTTTTCTGAATTAAAAAATATTATAATCTGACTGAAAACCGTAATTTGGAGTAAAAATGTTGTTTCCGTCGTTTCTCGAAATAACCGCACATAAGCGTACTTTTTCATTATAATTGGCTGTTGAAAAAACTTGCTTTTGCTCGTAATGAAAATTGGCACGAAAAGATTTCTAGCTTTCTAGCATTGTCACATAATAATTTGTGGTTTATAAATATTTGCAATTTATAAATATGGCCGCCATTAAGAAGCTATTTTCATTTTTTTAAAGTAAAGTCTAGAGGCCGTAGGCCGAGGCCCAGCGGAGGGCAAAGCCCGAAGCGTTCGCTCGCCAACCTCACGTAGGTAGTACCTATATGGAGGCTCTATTACGAGTACAAGATCTAATAATTGTTAAAAATAAGTGGAAATAAGATGCTTATAGCGTTGTTGTAACTCGACCGTACCTCTGTTAGATTCCTTGTTCTTGAAAGCTATGCCAAATATTAGGGAAAAAACTTAGAATAATAACGCATAGAAACCTAGCCCGCACACGCTAAGTGAGGCAAGTTAGAGGGTTCCAAACGCGTCCCAGGAGCGCGCGGGCTGTTAGTGCTCAAGGTCATATTGCACCGCGAACAGCTCCAAAATTTTTTGCTAAAAATGACGAAATGTGCGGTAAATGGGTGTAAAAATACAACAGACAAACATAAAATAGACACTAACATCGCATTCCACAAGTAAGTAATGCGTTTCAACTCATATTTTTATGTAAATATTCACTAAAACAGAAAAATAATTTCGCGGCAACAAGATGCGAAAGTGTTGCAAAGTAACGAATTTTTTTTCTCCCCATTTTGCTATTCTGTATCAAAATAATTATATTACGTAAATTTTAGTGGTGCCTGTAATTTAGATTTATTTGCGCATCTTGAACTAATATTTACTTTAATAAACATTAAATGTTTTCGTTAACTCCTGTAAGTGATTGGGACACTTAATTATTTTATAATACTTTTAACGGCTCTGCGTTCATGCTTTATTGAATAATTATTTATTTTAATTTTATTTGAATTGGAGCACATATTGCAACAAATTTACAGTACTTATATATTTGTTTCTACTATAGTGTTGGCACCACCAGTACAACTTTGATAGCTTATTATATGTCTTTCTTTTCGTAACTCAAGCGAAATATTTTTTATTAAAATATTTTATTTTCTTAAAAGGGGAGCATTCTTAAGCGATTTTTTAATCTATTTTAACAGTTATTTTCTTTAATGTTTGCTTATGGCATTTTCGGTTTTAGGTTTCGAATATGGCACTTATTTCTAAATCCAAGATGCGGGCGCGATTTTTCGAATAATGGCAAGTTGGGTATCGTTTTCGAGATGTTTGGGAATGTTCAATACAAATATGGCACTCATTTCTAAATCCAAGATGGCAAACACGACAGTTCAAACAAAAGCAATATTCGTAATGAGCACCCCCAAATACCTCGAAAACGATACCCAACTTGCCATTATTTGAAAAATCGTGCCCGCCATCTTGGATTTACAAATAGTGCCATATTCACATTGAGCATCCCGAAATACCTCGAAAATGATACCCACATAGCATTTTTTTGAAAAAATCGTGCCCGCCATCTTGGATTTAGAAATGAGTGCCATATTCGTAATGAGCATCCCCAAATACCTCGAAAATGATACCCATATTGCATTTTTTTGAAAAAATCGTGCCCGCCATCTTGGATTTAGAAATGAGTGCCATATTCGTAATGAGCACCCCCAAGTACCTCGAAAATGATACCCATATTGCATTTTTTTGAAAAATCGTGCCCGCCATCTTGGATGTAGAAATGAGTGCCATATTCGTCATGAGCATCCCCAAGTACCTCGAAAATGATACCCATATTGCATTTATTTCAAAACTCATGTCCGCCATCTTGGATTTAGAAATGAGTGCCATATTCGTAATGAGCATCCCCAAATACCTCGAAAAGGATACCCATATAGCATATTTTGAAAAATCGTGTCCGCCATCTTGGATTTACAAATAAGTGCTATATTCGTTTTTCATCGACAAAACCGAGCACATCTGTAGGCACCTGATCGACAATGTCGGGCAAATCTGTAGGCACCTTTAACTTAATGATGAGTTAAGCAAGATACAATTTCCCCACTTTTGAGGGAAATGTTATTCCATGGCATCATTATTTGTATATTTGTGTGCGTGCCGACGAGCGTAGTTACAAGTTGCTTACGCCTACATGAATTTGGTTTTTGCCTCACTTGTGACAGTTCGTTTGATATGAAACTATCATTCTATGCGTTATTATTCTAAGGGAAAAAATTGGTAGGTCAAGAGCACGTCATGCTTGACATTTTGTACTTTGGACTGTTCTTACCGTAAGCGGCATAGAGTTGGATTTAAATCGTAGGTGTCAAACTTGACGTGCTCTTGTGTACAATATAATATAATAACAATGCCAGACAATTATACCAATTTTCTGGTCTCAAACGGATAACTACCTCAATCACATTCATTAATCATAGCTACAAAAACTTTTTAAAATTTATACAGACGCTAAATAATATGATATTTCAGTTGTTAAATACGACATTTCTTCTATTTATTGAACGTTAACATTCGTTACTGCCAGCTGGTCAAGCTCTGGGTATGACGCATCCTGCAGCATAAGCACACCCCGTAATCTATTGCTAAAAACGCGCCGCAGGCCGAGCCTGAAGGGTATACGGCACGTATATTTACATAACCATCTATTGTACAAAATATAGAGCAGTTTGAGCATACCTACAATAATTGCTGTCCAAAACGGTTACCACCCTGGACTGCCATGCACAGGTTTCGGGTTGGATTCCCAGGCCGGGAGAAATGGCATACATTTATTTCTTATATAATTAGTGGTTGTCCATGGCACTCGCGATACAGAGTTTTCCTAGTGTGGGGCTATGAATGGTGCGTTATTATTATTTTGATATATATTTTAGACTCTGGCTTCTCCCATGGCCAGAGAAG